TGAATGGTTGAAAAAAGTGGTCTGGCGTGGAGTTTGTTCAGGGATCTCCAGACAGCTGGCAACCTCTGCTTAAGTCATCGACCCCGAACTTTTCCAAGTGGCGGGGGATAAGCCTAAGCCAAGGATAAGCCCTAAGGTTGTATCGAGGGGGAAAAAGGGACAGCCCAGGTCCATGGTCAAGTCCCCTGAAAAAATCAACATAAAACACGTGCAGCGATAGGTTCCCTTTAATTCCGACAGGGGGGAATCAACATAGCCTCCCCAATCCTCCAGTACCGTTTCCTTCTTTTTCGGAGGGAGTTCCCTTTAAATTCAACTACCAAGTAAAGAGCACTGGGTTTTTGTTCTTTTCTTTTTTCCGCATGGGCATCCACTTGGGATCTGGGATAGCTGTGTTTATTTGAGCTTCTTCTTGGATTGGGTTATACAAAGGGAAACCACGAGTGTAAACACAACGCAGAAAAAAGAAAAGACAAAAACATAATAAAACAAAAACGCACCAAACGCAACTCTTCTGCCCTTTGGCCATGGCTTATCTTGCACTCCAAGCAGCGTAGCGGCTCAGCTCGGACACTTGCATGGTGGGCAGCCAAATCCTAAGAGATAGAGACCGGCCCAAGGCCGGTTCCTACGCCTTGAAGGGCCCCTGATTGTGTCTTGTTTAACGCGACACCGCCTCCCCCCCAAAAAAAGTAAAATGGTCGCAAAGCCATGTCAGATTTCGGACGAGAGATAGCATAGACGATGGCGTGCCTGATGTGGTTGATATCACGCTTCCTTTTGGTTTCCCAATATAACCAAAAAAACGGGGTACCAGCGCGAAACAGACACGCCCACCAAGGGGTCCGTCCTGAGGCTTGATTGACGACGAGGGTCCGGGACCCGCAACAAGTGCAATGGGTCTGCCCGAAAATTCGCGGACACGAGGGGGTGTTTCCCTTCTGAATGGCCCGATAAGGGGTACAGGGCCCCGAAAAAGTGGCATGTGCTTTGCTTCTGCTGCTGGGGACAAAACGAGCATCGCTCTCGAGAGCCATTTTTTGGGGGGAGATGCACATGTATAATTTTATATAGGGCCGAACTATTCTTGGTGCTGTGGAGTACAATAAAGCCAAACAAGTCCCGATCAGAAGGGTCAAAGGGCAACCAAAAGGAAAAACTGCCTTGGGGGTCCCTATTTGGTCGTGGTCGTGTCTGTTCTAAGGAAATCTTTTTTGGAGTCGGTTTAATTGGACACGGAAAAAGGGAACCAGTTGATTTCCGGGGGTTCACCCCCCATCAAAAAATGGCCCAGGACCCAATTTAGATGATGACCATCCTTATTAGGTTCTATGGGTGTGTCGTTTTGAGGCGTACCATTACCCCTTTTTGATCTGCAAATGGAAACCGGAGAAACACCGAAATCCGTTTTGTGGGTCCGATTCCGAAATTTAAGCCCAGATGGTATCCCTGGAACCCTCCAGAACCCTCCCTGAAAGCTGCACCGAACAACCCCGAACGAGCTTGTCTGGGTCTATCGACCTCGAAATCGCTTTCAGCTGTTCTGGAAAAAAAGGACGAGCCACCCCTATAACCCAAGGACGAGTATCATCTTTCAATTGTTCAGCCTCCTAAGAGAAAAACAGCAGTAGTGATGGATTCCCTTCAAAGCAGCAAGGGAGAATATAACATATTGATTTCAGCAAATGGAAGAACACCTTGCTTGGCTGGAGGGTCCGGTGTTCACATAGAACCCTTCTCCACTTCAGCCATCTGGGGTCGGCGGCACTGGGCTTTTCAGCAAGGGGAAAAGGACCCTACCGTTGTGGTTTGAACCCCCCACCCCAGCCGAGAAACACATCGCAAGCACTGGAGGCGGCACTCAGGAGGTCATAGCAGCTTATGGCCGTCTGGCACTCCTCGCATTTCGAAGCCGCATTTTTTCCGTGAGAACCCGCAAGTGAAAAAGGAACCAAGGAAACCACCGCTCATCTTCGATCGAGTGCGCTGGCCAAAAAAAAGTAGCCACACTGCACACTTTCTTATCTAGCCACTAAACTGGTGTTTCCCAAAAGGTGACTAAAGTCTGAAACGGAACTCGGCAAGTGAGGTCACAATGAACACCCGGTACAAAAAGTGGGCACAAAAAGCAATGAAGGCGGTAACTGGATGGCCAGGCTTTGTCTCCACTGATCTTACACAGGCTTGATTAATTGTGGCTCAAGTGGGTGGACCGAAACGATGGAGTTTGCCTCCTCCTTTCGGATTCCCATACAGACAGACCTCGCAAAGGGAAACCCCAGAAAAAAAAGACCGACGTGCAAACCCGAGCGGCAGCAACAAAAGACATACCGAGCTTTGTGGATTGAACTTGCTGAACTGCTGTGATTCACTGGTGCGACGGCACACACCAAAAACCAGCCTAGCCCAAAGTCGAGGCGACCGGGACCGCGACACTACCGTCACGCCCTCACAGTACACGTGCTTCCGACCGCACGTCTTGCAGCGCGAGCCTTCTCCCTGCCACCGCTCTTCCTCGCACTCGAAGTTGGCCACTGTTCTTTGCACAGCTTCGCTTCGTTCCCACAGATCTGGATCGTGGAGGACCACTTGGCTGTGCTCGCATGCTCCAGCGATGCATCAGAACTTCGGCCCGTGGCGTTGAAGTTATGCTTTTACTACATGAGGCAAAACGGGAACAGACTCGGAAATGAGAAACGTGTTGTGTACTCGAGTGCAATCAGCCGACTGAAATCTGCATGGGCCTGCCCAGTGCTGCAGCAGATTTGTTGCATGCTGCTCAGGAGCACTTTGCATACGCCACTCGAAATAGCTTCTCTGATTCGGCAGAAGCACCGAGCTTTCAATTTGCAGGGGTTGCAAGCATGAATTGAGGGACCAAATGACTAAGTGAGACTAAACCAGATGCCTCGTGTCATGTGCAAAGGCCCAGCCTCCCTGGCACAAGAACTGCAGAGGGCGGCCACTGCACAAACAGCGGGAGGCATGGACACGCGAGAATTAGTGAGTCCTGAACCTGCATGTCCAAAGTCACCCGAGGGTAGGTTGAAAGGGAACGACCTGGATGACTTTGATGACCCAAGACAGTCTCAACATGACGACTGCAGGCCCAACTGATCATGGCACAATTTGAGTGGAGTCAGCTCGCCATGGAGAGGTCAACAAACAAGAAGCGTTTGTTTCAAAGGTGTTCCATGCGCCAAGAAGAAGCATGGAGTAGGCTCTTTGGCTGTTTCGCATGCTTCAGCCACTCCGTCAAAAACAATTGAATCCACAAGGAGGTAAGAATTGGGGGACTTGGAATGCCGGGTACCGGAAAAGATCCATACTGTGGACAGGTGCGAAATCCGCTTCTCGTACCACGAAATGAAGCCATGGGAATGAAACAATAATTAAGGCGTGTTGGTATTTCCCGGGGAAGCAAATGGAAAATACCAGGGCCTCTTGCTTAAACAGTCTTAGGTGGTTTTTCCCTCGGAAAAAAGGGGCGATGGAAATAGCTCAAGATTCAAGGAAGTCACGGAGTTGGATTCATCAGTTTCAGGTGACTCCCTCTGCGAAGCACGGTTCTTGCTTACAATACTGAAACGTGGTAACAAAAAGGACAAACATACCATTGTTCCCCTACTTAAAAAAATCCATGGGCAAGTAAGTAATTAAATATTGGGTAATTCGGTTGTTCGTTGTTCCCGACTTAACCAACTATGACAAAAACAACTAATTGATTTTGCCATTATTTCCCCTTCCTCTACTCAACTTCATGGAGAAGCTTACGAAACCCTTTAAAACACTTACCTCAACGAAACCAAACCCCCTAACAACCCGTATAGAAATACCTTGAACACATCGACCCAACCCGGATCCATCCGCTCAGCTCCGTTTGGCGTCTCCTCGCTCTCGCGCTCGGAAGCTGTGACGCTGTCCATGCAGTGCTCGTAGGCCCAGCTGAGGTAGCCCGCGGATTTGGAGTGCCACACTGAGCCTACGCGAGGGGTAGGGCTGTACTTGAGCTACTGTGGTAAGTGCCAACAAACAATGGTGTCCCATGGTTTCAAAGTGGTGCAGGATTTAGCCCCTGCTCCAAAGACCCACCTGTTTCTAGGGTATGTGTTTGTGAAAACCGATCAGTTTTTCAAGGTACGCACCTCCTTTTTAGTGAGGGTCGACATGATACCCGGAAAAAAAAGGTGGGTATTTAGAGTCGGGGCTATGTTTGAGCCATGTCTGGGGTGTGTGTCAGTTTGCTATGCTTGGGTTGTGGGTTTCTATGTGTGTGCTTCTTGGGGTGCCACGCTTGCTTTTGGGGCTGGTGTTTTCTTGGGTTGCTATCTTTGTGTTTGCTGGTCGATTTTTTTCTGTTTCCCGAATGCTGACCCCTAAGGGGGGCCCCGTATTCACCCATTTGTCAGGCAGTATTAAGGGCTTGTCCTTGGCTAATCCCGGGCTTATCCGGGTAAACCCTCCCCGATGAAGCCGTCCTACTACTCGCTTCCGACCAAGTGCATGGGCCCAAATAAGCAACCAAACCTTTTGTTGGCCACTAAAATGGTCTTCTCAAAAAGTATCAGGGTTTCCCTACAAAAGTGATGAACCTCCACTAACAAGGGACACCCCATCTCTCAAAATCAATCATGAGGTTATGAATCTGGGGTCAACGTTAAGGGTCCAAGTACTTATATGATCTACTCCGGGAGGGGGTGGGGGGTAGATCATGGGTCAAATCACATCTTTAGATATCTTTAGGTACGTGGACTCAGCCTCGGGGTCTCTATTTCTATTTGCTGCTTTTACAGCTGAAGGTTTTTGGGGTTGGGATCTGAATGAATATATACATATATATATATATATAAACATCTACAGTATAATGTTCTTTCAGTATGACTGAAGTATGACCCAGATTCAGTATGGATACCAGAATCAGACATGGGTGTGTCAAAAAGGGGAGCCGCCGGAGCCACCAAGTGGTGGGCTTCCTCTTGGTTTCCCTTCAAACCAACCGGCCTCGATGGACCTCACAAATCGGATCGAACCAGCAATGTATGGGTTGATAAACCCAACCCTGAGGTCAACGAAGGGATTGGACAAAAAATCACCCTGCCCTCCCACACCTTCATTTGCTGAAGTCCCCCGAAGAATTATTGCCAGTAGCGATAGATTCCAACTTTAAAACCACCAGGGCGAAAACGCAAAACATACGCACTTATGTTCATTTCAGCAAATCGAAGTAAATCTTGGAATGAGGAGAGGGTACCTCATGCAGATCTCCAGAGTTCTATGTTCCCTTCGCCACCCAAAGTGGCGATCGTTTCAATGTACAGCGTTTTTGCGGCATTGGAGCCCTTCTGTTTAAAAAAAAATGGCACTTTGCGGTGTAGCAGCTTAGCAACCCTTGGCAACCCTCTTGCTTGGTGCTTCGGATCGGTTTGGATTTGGATGTGAAGCCATGGCATTTGGACACATTTGGTAAATGGGACATCGCTCCCACCCTCTCCAAAGAGACCACGGAAGGGTTTTCCGAGGCCAAGGGGTTCAAGAACGCACGAAGCGGCTGTGGGAAATGGAATCGAACCTGTGATACAAAAAGGGGATGAAAAAATAACCTCAATGGTACCAAAAGGATCTCTTTCAGGTTGTTTTTCAGATCTTTTCAAACACTAAGCCCAAGAGATTCCAACGTGTATCACAGTGAGGATAAACCCCTTCATCCCAGCCTGCACGAAACTACGGCGAACCTTGCAGTGAGCCCCAGGGCAAACGTTGTCCTGGATAGGTGTTACTGCCCATAAGCATGTCCCGTCTAATGGTGACCCCAGATTAATCAAAGCCGTTGTTTGTTAATGTGGGGGTGTCCCTGGTTTTAGTGGGGACTTATTACTTTTGGAGGGGAACACCTCCATACTAATAAATAGGGTTTATCAATCCGGCGTGAAGATTACAAGCAAAGAAAATTGCGAAGCAACGCACGCAAATGACGGGTTGACAAAACCTCTTGAGCCCATTCAGTGGCGGTCCGACACCTCGCTGTCGAGTCCATTTGACTTTGACAGGTTTTAGTGTAACCATGTCGATTCTACGGAGCCCTCCGCTTTCTGTCAATCCGAATCCGAAGTGTAACTTTTTAGCCTGGAACCATGGTTCAGTGATGGAATGGACAACAAGCAATCAGAACAGTGTAAACCGGACTGAAAGGCTTCAGCAACCCCGGCTTTAAATTCTCAAGGGGTCGCTTCCAAGGAGACAGGCCCGTTTGGGTTACCTGTCATCCACATGTCTCCAAATTGCGGAATGCTCTTGGGGTGTTTACATTTATGGTTTCCCTTTCAACCACAAAAAGGAACCCTTCAAATAAAGACACATCCCAGACCCCAAGCGGATTCGGCACTAGTTTTTGGGTAGTTGAGTTTAAAGGGAAAGCCCTAAACTTCTATTTGCTTAAGCACTGAAAACAACCTATTTCGAGTAGTGATAGATTCCTTGTAAAACCAACAAGGGATAATAAATCCAATATATTCTTAAGCAAATGGAAGCAACCAAGTTGACCGGAGGCAGGCCACTGAGCCTCCGAGATCTCCAAAACCTTCCCGCAACGGTTCGCAAAATGGCACCTCCATCGGCATCTGCGGTCACAGCCGTGGACAGCTCCTGCAAGGTGCAGCGATCAAGTTTTACAGATCTGGGTTGTCCAGTAACGGGCCGAATTAGGCCAAATAAGGCAGAATATGGCCTTGCCGGGTGAGGTCTTGTGTTGTAGGGTCCCTATAATCAGGAACCCACACTGAAATAAGAACCCTGCAATTTCTAGGTCCTCCAGTAGAGAGGTTAGAATAAGGGTACCCTTTTTGCTGTAGTTTATTTTAGTAGAGGAACCCTCCCCCAAACAAGTTGGTAAAAGGGCACTACTGGACGACCTAGAGATGGATTCGCACCAAGCCCCTGGTTTTGGCGCGAACTTGCCAAATTTCCTGGAGAACTTCCTGAACATAGGCGTCTTTTGGGTTGAAAATAGAAGCCCTGGATGATGAAACAACCAGGACAACCAGGAATCACCATCCATCCATGTTCTACCACCAAAACAACAAAAAATGACACCTATATTACAGATGGGTGGGATGCTCAACCCTTGGTCAAATGTTCAACCCCAAGCCAAGATTCAAACATGTCCTTTGTTCATATTTGCAGGGTCACTGGATTTGCCCTGGAATGGTTGCAATTGCTGTGGTGTCCATTGACAGTGCCACTTTGGGACACACCCTGCTTTAGTCAAGGGCAAAAACGCAAGACAATTATATTGCCAACCTCGACGCAGATACGAGTCTTGCTCACATAACTTGGCCCACTAAGGTACACAGCTTTACAATTATAGGTGGGATCCTGCAGTCGACGGTGGGCTTGCAGTGCGACAATCATGCAGTACAGTGGTGCTGCAATACTGTCAACATCTGTTCAATAATTCCCCTCCCAGATATTCATCAGGATTGCATTTTTGAAGAAATGAATCCCACTAGAAAGGGATGTTCCTGATTGAGAACTGGAGGGACGTAAAAACGGGTCAACATGAACGGTGGTGAAGTAAGATTGGTCATACCACTCAACTTAACAGTGCTGACGGACAGCAAGAGTCTCACTGCCTGAGTTGATTCGCTAAAACAAGTAACCAAGCAGTTCGTTTGCCACTAGAATGGTCCAAACCCAAAAAGTCTAAAGTCCGAAACGGCGCTCAGAGAGTGAGGGGCTTACTTAAACTTACTTGCTTCCTCAGAAAGATTAACCAGAAAATCCATCCCATAAGGCCCCAAAGGCTGGTGGTTACGCCTTAGGGCAAACTAATTACTTCTCTATTGGTTGGCCTTGTTCCTCGTATTCAGCTAGCTTCATATCGACCGTGCCTCTGAAAAAACTACCAGACATGGGCCGAATTATTCCAAATAAGGCAGAATATGAGGTCTTGTGGTGTAGGATCCCTACAATCAGGAACCCACAGTGAAAAGAAATTACACCAGCATAGACCCCAGATAGCACACCACGGCTACGAACCGTGACGCAGCATCATAATAATTCCCGCGGCATGATGATGATGTTGACAGCATCTAGGTGATGTTGACAGCATCATGAAAATACCACTGCTACTCAGCCGCTTCATCAGCAAAACGATGATGTTGACAGGATGATGCTGAGACACCAGCCACGTACGATTCCGCCCTACATATCTAGCAGAAAAAAGGCAGAGACGACGTCCTGATGAGTTTGACAGCATCATGATGATGCGGACAGCATCATGACGATGCTCGCAGCATCATGGTGGTGGCAAAGGCAGCATCCTGATGATACCACAGCCACGAATCATCGTGTAATGAAAGTCAGCATCATCCCGATGTTGACAGCATTATGCCACGAACCATAACGCGGCATTGCAGCGATTGCAGCAGCATCATGATGTGGTTGACAACATGTGGTGGACAACATCATGATGATACATCAGCCACGAACCATTACGCGCGACAGTTAAAGCAGCAACAACGTCCGAATCGGTTCAACACCATCATGATGCTGCGGACAGCATCATGATGCTGTGGCCGGCATCGTGATGATGCTGCGACAACCGCGACCCAAACAGCACCCGCCCTAGCACCCTGCCACCAGCCCGAGGGCAATCTCCGACGTACAACACCCCAAACAGTACCCCAAAACAGCTGCATCAGCTCCCCAAACTGCATGTGGCCATCAATCTTGGAAGAATGCGCCTGCACCATCACCAGCACCTCAAACAGCACCCCAAACTGAGTGCCCCCCCGGTGTCCATCAGCGCCTTTAAAAGCACAGGCACCAGCCTGCATGCCCCCTAGCACCCGGCCGTCAGTTTCGCAAAGCGGCACCTCCACCAGCACCCGTAACTGCATGCCCCTTAGTACCCGGCCGTCAATCTCGCAAAACAGCACCTCCACCACATGCCCCCTATCTCGCAAAGCGGCACCTCCACCAGCGCCCGAAGCTGCATGACCCCTAGCGCCCGGCCGTCAATCTCGCAAAACAGCACCTCGACCAACACTCCAAACTACATGCCCCCTATCTCAAAGCGGCGCCTCCACCAGGACCCGAAACTGCATGCCCCCTAGCACCCCGCCGTCAACCTCGCAAAACAGCACCTCCACCAGCGCCCGAAACTGCATGCCCCCTAGCACCAACCTCGCAAAACAGCACCTCCACCAGCGCCCGAAACTGCATGACCCCTAGCACTTGGCCGTCAAGCTCGCAAAACAGCACCTCCACCAGCACTCCAAACTACATGCCCCCTAGCACCCGGCCGTCAATCTCGCAAAACAGCACCTCCACCAGCACCCCAAACCACATGACTTCTAGCACTTGGCCGTCAATCTTGCAAAACAGCACCTCCACCAGCACCTCAAACCGAATGCCCCCCAGCACCCGTCCGTCAATCTTGCAAAACAGCACCTCCACCAGCACCCCAAACTACATGACCCCTCGCACTTGGCCGTCAATCTCGCAACACAACACCCCAAACTGCATGCCCCCTAGCACCCGGCCGTCAATCTCGCAAAGCGGCACCTCCACCAGCACCCCAAACTGCATGCCCCCCAGCACCCGGCCCTCAATTTCGCAAATCACTTTCCCTTCTTTAATAGAAGTTAGAACCCCTATAGCTTTCAGCTATCTGGGGAACAACTATTTACATGTGTGGGGTGCGTGCAATAAAGATGCCTGAAGCAGAAAAGGAAGCAGAAACGTCCCGAAGTCCACCCATCCCCCCTACCACAAGGTGCAGGGCGGTGGGGGGTCCATTCCATTGATTTAGTCTTCCTCATAGGGAAAACTGCTTGCCATAAATGGAGATCTCCAGAAATCGGCTCCCGATTTCATGTTTCAGGCTGCGGATGTCCACCCCCCACCCCCCGACCCCCCCCCCCAACCATCCGCGCCAACCGCTCCTGATAGGCATGTTGGCTCGGAGCGCCTGTCGAAAGAAAGAAAGCCACGCATTGCCCGAAACTTTTTTGGGGCACCTCCCCAAAACGGTGGCTTCCTTTGGCGCCGCTTTGAAAAAAAAAAGTCGGCTTCCCTCTAATTGGTCTGGATTGGTGGCTTGGATCCACAAAAACCAAAATTTCAAATCCCCAAACCACCAATCCAAACCACCAACTAAGGGTTGCCTGCCAGTCTGAGACCAAATTGCCAAAAAACCTGCGCACGCCTTTCTGGTTGCTGTCGGTTTGTTAACCACATGTTTGATTTGATTTACGAAAGCCAGCTCATGAAGGAAGCTGAAGAACAGGATCACAAGGAGGCAACACAGTATCCTGGCCAAAGACGGTGGATTCCAGAGGCATTACTCCCAAAACACTGTCTATTGGTGCTGGAGAACATGTATTGCGCATCCGGAGTGGAATCAAATTGCAGTATCAAAACTCTGCAAATCCAAATTTGAGGGTGTCCAACAACTGGGGACTGTCTTAAGCTCAATTTGGGACCAAAGGAGCCCCCCAAAAACACGCACCGTCGCTGCTCCACATCACAAGTAAGGCGAACACCTGTTGCGAGCTCCAGCTTCGTCCCTTCCCGATTCGTCACTCTGTGAGCGTCAACTCCCAAAATGGCCACGGCTTCCTGTGACTTTCCCTTTCAACCAAAAAGGGAACCCGAGCCTCAAACAAACCTCCGCTGCAAAGGCATCCTCTGCTCCCATGCTCGCAACAATAAATCACTGGCGCTGCTTCTGGCTCCTGATTTCACTCCATGTATGGCACCTTTACCCACACTTACCAAGCCTCCAAATGGCTCAAATGTTGCTATACATTGTCCACACGGAGCGTGTGGGCATGATCACGAGATACCTTGCCCTAGATCCTAAAGCCTCATTCTCCTTATTTAGGCGATATGTCCCTATGGAGAAGACAGAAAGTGAAGCATCTCTCAGAAAACATGCGTGAAACAAAGGCCGACAAGCTGGAGTTCATCTTTCAGCCGGGAGCAAGCCTGAAAAAGGCATCAGCTTTGGTGGATATGCTAGTCAACCAACAACCAACCATAGGAATTTACAGGGGCTCTTTGCTCCCTACTTGCAGTATTTAGGGCATCCACCGTTGCAAAACCCTCGCATGGGTGGTATTTTTTGGCTGTTCCTGTTTTTTTTTGGGTTCCGGAGACCTTCAAGAAGCCTTGAAGACTTAAGACATCCTATTACATGAGTTTGAAGGTGTTGAACCCCAAAGATGGTGGTTGCCATGCCTTCTAAAAAGGTCACCCTCAAAACATGACATCCAGTTTCGTGGGGAATTTCTGTCCACCAGCCATCTGGGTGTTCCAGCCGTAAGCTCGCAGCACGCATCACACGGTGCCGTGCCTGGGTCGCAGCTGAAGTACCGCCTCAGCGTGGCAAAGGGTTGACGGTGCCATAGCCGGGTTCGCCGAAGACTCGCCTTACCCAAAATCTGGTTTAGGACGCCTCCCAAAAAAAGCTTCCCTTTGGTTTCCCTTTAAAACCATCCAAAATGTCAGCTTCCCTCTAATGGGGGGTTTCCCATATACCCTTTACAAGAACCAGGGGGTGGCCGGTTCCCCAATCCCAATAAGGTGGATTTTAGCAACAATAAGACCTAGGGGCTAATAGTGTTCCTTTTTTGGCAGGGGGTCCAGGTGAGGAAAAACATGATGGCGCTGGTGAATCACAAAAACCACAAACTAAAACAATGACTGCTAGCCCACTGTAATGATGAAAGGTCCCAACCAAAGAACCATGCCCGAATGATAGACGTATCGGTAGATTTGAGTTACCAAAGTTTCCGGTGCAGACACTGCCGTTTGTTTCACTTGAGTGGATTGGTCCCAACAAGTCCAAAGTTTGCCGTGCTCCCAAAAGGTTTGGTCCAAAGCAGTATCAACAGCCAATTGAGCAGCGCCCAAAACCCCTTGGCTGAGGGCTTCTACTATGGGTGGCTCGTCTTTTTGGAGTTGGTACAGTTTTTGGGTGGGTTTGAAGGGAAAGCACAAGGAAAATCGATGCCATGTTGGGGGTCCCCCTTTGTTAAATGTCATTTTGGCAGGTCCCCCTATGTTAAGACAAACTCTATAGGCTTTCCTCTAAGCCCAACTAAACCAAACAGACGACCTAAGACAGCCAAGGGGAATCCGCTTTTGGGGCGCGAACAATGTTGATTCACCAACACCCCCACACAAGGAAGTTGGAACGCGTCTCTCACCAAAGTCTAAAGTGTGTCACAGTGTGTGTGTGTGTGTCCTTAGAAAAGGGAACGCCCAAATTGTCTTGTTGGTTTCCTGGTCAGAGCTGCAAAGGGTACCAATTACCAATTCCATAAACACACACCTAACTCACTTGCCCGTATGGGACCTGGAAATAAAAGGATAACCTGAAACCTGGACTAAATGTGGTTGCCAAAGCCGGGGGGGGGGGGGGGGGAAACCGCTTTGAGCAGCTGAGAAAATGCTGACCCGGATTTGGTATTGAACCGTGAACCGTGTGGGTTTGTCTCTTTGAGGGTACCCCTATTTTATGGCTGAAAAAAACAAAAGGAAAACAACGAGTGCCGTTTTGGGGTCCCGGTCCGATTCCATGTAACAAAAACAATTCTTTCGGTGTTGACCAAGCAAAACACTCGGGACAACCAACCACGGGCTTTGATGGCTGACGGGTTCGCTGAGGAAATTGACCTTGCAGGTTTGCTAGTGGGAATGGTATTTGGTCGGATCTGGAACATCCAACTTGTTGAGTAAACATGTTTGTTCCTCAATAACCAACAACGAGTTGCAAAGGTGTGGCAGTGGCTTCTTTTGAGTCGGCTTAACGGGACACCAAAAGGAACACATCCATTTTCAGGATCTCCTAGAAAGAGACACGCCCACAAAAGTATAGGTTACCTAGGTCCTCCAGTTGAGAGGTTAGAGTAAGGGTACCCTTTTTTCTGTAGTATATTTGAGTAGGGGAACCCTCCTCCAGAAAATGGTAAAAGGGCACTACTGGGGGACCTAGGTGCCCTTGGGGCCTTTGCTGTGGGCCATGCGATGGCTCATCTGATCTCGCCGAGCGGCTGATACGCCACGATGCCGTGGGTGCCGTCCTGCACCACCTGATACTGCCCGCACCTCTGCCGTACCTGGGAAGAAAAAGGTACCGATGCCAAACCGGAGTCAGGTTTACACGAGGGAAACCACAGGGGTATGTATCAAAATAGGGGGACCCTAAAAAAGAGCTTTTTCCTGCTAGTTTGCCCAAAAAGGGTCATTGGCCAACCACATGCACTTCCATGAACTTCTGAACCCCAAACTGGGGGAGTCCCGGCATGTCTTCCCAAAGATGCCCTGAGGCTTGTGGCATGCTGCTCGGTAAGGCCGCAACACTGGTGATCTATTGGTCTCTGTTATGAGTCCCCTAAGCTGATAATGGCCAAGGATTCAATCTGGGGGCCCATGTGAAAAATCTCGATGGCCCTGGTTGATGGAATAAAACCAATGAAAGCCAGTTCCAGGTATTGCTATCCAAACTGACCAATCACCGTTTGCCCAAAGAGTGAAGCTTCGTCTCTGTCGGTTGCTCCTAGCTGTCGCCTTCAGCCCTAGATACCCCTTGTCCGAATCATCGAAGTGGACATACGCCTTTTCAAGACGATCTTGCAAACCTACCGTGGTCAGGTCGCTTGGTATCACAAAAGGTCATCAAACAAACTCCAGCTGGGTCTATTTTTTTATTGAGCGGTACCCCTGGTTGGTGATTTTCAAGGGACACCAGGAGGAAAACATCCATGTTGTGGGTCCTCCAAAAACACACCACACACACACACCACACACACACACACCTATTTTCCCTAACAACAACGACACATCTTATCGGTTGCATTCTGCTCCACTGCCAGAAGTTTAACTTTTCGTAGTTTAATGAACAAACCCGTGAGTTGGCAAAAAGTTAAAGTCCTAACATCCAAGCAACATGCACCAAAGTATTTTCCAGTCAACCAACGACACATCTTAGAGGGTACGACGACTGAAGGCGATTCGCCCCGGCGCGCCTTCTCCACGCTGCGGACGCAGGAGGCGGTGCAGACCTGCAAAAAATCCGCAGACGAGAAAACAGAACCGTATGATTCATTCAGGGCTTCGGGGGTTAAGAGCCCTCATAGTTAGGGTCGTGGTGTCCATGGCAAAAAGACAAAGGCGCCTTGTACTTGTTTTGCAAGGCCAACCTTCCCCAAAGTTCCGGGGAGCCCCGCCCAGACCCCAAACAATGCCATTGAGAGCCTAGTGATACCAAAGTGGTTGCAATGCCTGAGGCAGGCTACGAAGTGGCTATGGTTGCAGAACATCAAAAAAATACCCGCTAAAATTACACATTTACCCCGATAAGTCGCAAAACTCATTCAATTGACCCCTATAAGTCGCCGAAATCACCCATTTACCCCTACAAAGTCAGCTTTTCTGTGGGGTACCAAACTGGATTGCCAACTTGCGTTCATAGTCCAAAATCGATCGCCTCCTGGCGTCGTGACTATGTATGGGTCGAAGCCCGAACTCTGAATGATAACAAGGTATACCAAAGGTAATATGAACCCGGATTCAGAAAACATATGGGGGAAGGGAAGCCCTCCTCCGAAGTGGGAAAACAAACAGGAAGCGTTTGTTTCAGATTCATTGTTCCATAATGTGGATGGTTGCGAAACCCGCTCGGAAGACTGAAATGAAACCATAGTTGAACCACAACCCCAGAGGGTCCAAGTACTTCATGAGGATGGCTGTTGGGGGGTAAAAGGGGTCTAAGTACCTCCTCAGAAGGTACTTGGACCATTTGGGAACGTTGGTATTGCAGAAAACTCGAATCTTTCCGTTGGGTTTCCGAAAGGTGTGAAATGGATGAGGGGCTTCTTCGCCGAAAGTGGTCTGAACCCCCGCTAAAACCAAAAAACACCCCCATACTGATAAGTACCTGGAGTCTCCATGACCCTTAAACAAATGGGGTCATTACCCAAAATTAAGGGGTTTTTAAGGGTCATGGAGACTCTAGGTATGGGTTTAGCAATGGCATCTGGCAGAGGAAAGGCAAAGCTCAAGCTGACAAGCCGTCCTCCAAAAACAAACATAAGCGGCTCCTTGCTCTTCCACGGCCCACTTTACGACTTCATATTAAGCAAAAGAGCAAATACTATGCTTCAAATATAAGATCAAAACTGCGTAAACCGTTGAGACCCAAAACGAAATGTGGATTCACAAGTACCCATCCACCCACCTATCCACCTATCCACCTAACCACCAATCCACCTATCCACCTATCCACCTAACCACCTAACCACCAATCCACCTGTCCACCTATCCACCTATCCTCCACCTATCCACCTTTTATCCACCTGTCCACCTATCCACCCACCCACCCACCCACCCACCCACCCACCCACCCACCCACCCACCCACCCACCCACCCACCCACCCACCCACCCACCCACCCACCCACCCACATACCAACGGGCTCCCAAATGGGTCGGTGGTGACCAATTTTCACCCGCGGACCGTCGCCCTTTTTCTCTGCACTAGTCCCGCCTCATCTTTGATCGCGTCCATGGTCGGGAAGCTGAGTCTGCAGATCTGCTCCTTGGTTAAAAAAAAAAACGAAAACCGCCAAGCAAGCCCTCCAAAAGCTGCGTCAGCGTGGCTGCCAGTGGCCACCTAACAAGGCTTAGATGTGCTGTGGGCAAACCTGCATGAAAGAGGTTCACTGTTGTGGGCTGGCATGAAAACATGTGGTTTCCTAGAAAGTTGCAAAGATCCAACCCAAAAGCCAAGAGATGAATCGAACGGCTTTTTGTCACTTAAGAGAGGAATCCTTTGGTACGGAACTTGGCAACCATTTCACCAAAAAGCAAAAGTCAAAAGAGCGGCTGGCAGGCCACTGCTGGGGAACCCCCTGTGTGTCCAAGGTATGTGGACCCTCCCCCTCCCAGAAAAAATGGTGGTGTTCCTTCAGTTTTCCTACACGAAAAGTGACCCTCAAAAATAGGTAGACCCATTTTTTGTTTCCTTTGGTTTCTCTTTACACAAACCCCGAAAAGAGTACCCTCAAAACAAAAGCACCAACCCTTTGGGAAAACAACAGGACCACTAGTGATCGAAAGACGGCCCGTTCCCACCCTGCTACTTGTTCCGCGTGGAGGTCTCGGTTTACACCCCTTGAGTTGGCCACCTATATCGACATATGCCAAAGAAATACCAAGCTTTGTGTCGGCTTAAAGGCTGCCCCAGGAACGGAGCAAACTAAAAATCACAAGAATGGCACCCCGTACCTACCAAGCAATGACCATTTTCCCAGGCACAGGTAAACAACCTAAGCGAGCGGAAGCTGCTAAAAGGATTTGAAAAAGGATGGGATTTGGGAGTGTTGTTTTGAGGTACTCGTTGCACCTTGGTTCCGGTAGGAATTGCCTTTTCCACTTCCATACCGACCAATGGAAGGCCTTCCAAATTACGAATTCACCATGTACTAAAAGTGGGAACCGGCTCATTCCCCCAACCCTGCCGAGCCCTATCCGCGTACTTCTTATCACGAAACCCTAAAAACCACATTTTTGAAGCAACCGCATTTTTCTGGGTGGATCTCCAAAAAAACATCCTTTCTCTGTTGGGTGAGGAATCCGCAATTGGTTGTGGTCAAAAAATAGGTACCCAAAAAGGAATCCCGATACATGGAAAGCCAAGGATCAAAACCTGCAGTCCTTTTCCTGGTGTGTAGTTTTGGCACCCAAAACCTTAGGCCATCCCGAAGACGTTAATCTCGTTTCGGTGACCCATTGGGTTCTAACAAATGAGCTCCTCCATTTGCTTAAGTTCCCTGGAAAAAACAAAATACGTCTAGTGTGCGCTGCGTTCCCTTTGGTACCCGGAAAAACCCAAAAACCATCCTAAGCAAATGGATTCCTTTCATAGACCGGCCCATTTGCGGAAATAAAGGGTTCGTGAAGAGCATGGGGAACGGCTCACGTCCCAGTTTCCAACCCAAACAACCTTGAAATCAAAGGCCGAACTGGAGGACCACAAACGGAACCCCCAAATGGAAAGAACATAAGGTTAGATCTTTTTCGATTGTTGGATTAGCAAGGTAATAAGCCACCAAATGCAGAAACCAAAGCCGAACTAGGTACACCGCCCGTAGTAGCCAGTGTGATTAGAGGGGGGAAAGGAGAGCACTGTCTGTCCCTCATGTGAAATGCGGCGAGCCAGTGGGGAATTTCTTGCGTCCCCGAATCCCACCGGCAGGCTGCTTTCAAAAGCTCATTTTTTCAGCCCCCGACTATCGTCTGTCAAGCATTTGCCATGTTCAAAACGGCATGTTGCCTGGGAACCGCGTGATGAAAAGCCGACGGGGGGAGGGGGTCCTTAGTTTTGTTGTTCACCAAAAAGTTAATTCCTCAAATTCGTGTCGGTTTTTCAGCTGCAGGCAACACACAGGCTCTTGAGGAGTCAGCGTCGTCTGTGAAGCATTTTGCCATGGGCAGCCGCATGATGATTTCTCTTTCCAACAACCGAGGCGGGGAAGGGGTCCTTAATCTCTTATTCACCAAAAAGTTAATTCCCCAATTGTTTGTCGGATTTTCGGTTGCAGGCAACACACAGGCTCTTGCGGAGTCAGCGTCGTCTGTCAAGCATGTTGCCATGTTCAAGACCGCATGTTGCCTGGGAACCGCATGATGAATTTTCTTTTCAAAAACCGACGGGGGGGAGGGGTCCTTAATCTGTCCGTCAGCATCGAAAAAGGTGGCCAAACAAATGCAGCTGAGGGACAGCAACTGAGGGAGAACCAGGAGAAGCCACAAAAGCTGCATGCGCGGGCAAGGGGGAGTGGACATGGCGAGGAGGGTAGTTGGCTGCCAGACAAGCGACGAAACAAGACCCAGCAGTCAGAAGCCACACCGATGGAAGCAGAGCAAGGGCGCAGCAGATGACGATCCCAGGACGCGCGACCGCAATGAAGGAACGTAAGCGCCTAAAGCCGAAAAGTCAGGCGGCAACCTCCGTGGGCACACTGTGACGGCAGACACAAGGTCCGCTGGTTGACACGCTACTTCCAGAAGAGAGTCCAAGTAACAAACAGAAAAAAAGGGACCCAGCAGCGAGTCTGTGGAGAAGCAATGCGAGACGCCAGCTAAACGCAGCAAGATGATGAAGGCAAGGGCTAGACAACGTCTTCTGACACCATGGTTGGGCACAAGGAGCTACAGTAAAACAAGACAGGTCAGCAAGCTCAGCACGCCAACAAAGAACCCCACACACCCACAAAAGCAGGAAATAATGAAGTTCTTGTCAAGCAAACTCGAAGAAGTGACGTGCCCCCCCCCACCCCCCCCGCCAACCCCCCCCCCCACCCACCCACCCCAACCCCCTCCCACCAAAAAGGCCATCAAGCACTAAAAGCACCAAAAAATGGAGTTCGTCCCACAAGCGGCTGTGGGCGGTGGTCCAACTACCTACTATGATTGCATCTGTTTGGTGTCCTTCCTCCGCTTTGAGGCACGCCCACTTCAATGATCACACACAGCAGAGATAAACCTGTGAAATTGATGTCCAAACATGCAATTACATGAATGTATATATATATATATACATACATATATATATATATAAGTATACAGATATGGGGGGTGTCTTAAAATAGGAAGCAACAAACATGGAAACTTCTGCCCTGTGGCTTCTCCATACACATCGGGGCTTCTCCCGTGAGACCACTTGGCCATGGCTTGTCTTAGTGTTTTCTTCGGCCCAGCGGCGAGCTCGGAGATGGAGTCATAGCAGTGGTTCACCTCCAGCAGCTGGTGGTGGAAACATGGCCCCAAACTCCAAAAGGGGACCTTCTCAGCACCGATTTGTCTGGTGGATTGGCCAGAAAAAAGTCACCGATTTCTTGTGAGTTGGCAAAACAAATTTTGAGCATTATTTGTGTTTCGCTGAAATGGTCTTCCTAAAGAGTTCTGAAAGTCCAGGAACTCGGGGAGTGAGCCTAACCATACCAAACATACGGCCCAAAAGACCAAACACATAGCCAATAACAAAATAACCAAGCAGCAATAATTGTGGGCTAAAATGCCCAAAGCTGGATGTCCGTCCTACCGAATCCACACTTACAGGGATTCCCTGGCCGATCCAAATACTGCCATTGTCCACAATGATCCAGGCTGCCGGTGAATTGGCCGTTTTTGACCTCGTTAAAGGCGGATCAATGCCGAAACACGCCAAGGAAACACATTCATGTTGGCCTCGCAAACAAGCCAAACCGCAAACACGCCAAACCCATCTTGGATTTGGAAGACTATACATCAACTTGTTTGGTGTCTTTTGGCTCGCATGTTGCAAATACATTCCGGGAAACAGCTCAGGGATGGGTCCCTGTCCATCCAAATACGGGTGTCGGCAAAGAATAGCATAGGGTACGCCGCCTCGCTCTCCCCCTCCAACCCCGGGCCCGGGGCTTGTGCCATTCCCAAAATCCCTTCCAGAGGTCCAGTGATACTGTGGACGAAATCCTGCACTGCAAGAAACCCAAGGATTCGATTCCCCAACGTAAATACCAACAAAGGTTATGGTTTCAACCACGGTTTCAAAGTGGTGCGTTGCGTGGATTTCGTCCATCAGTAGCATCCTGAGATGAGTGAAGCGGGTCATTTCTAGCGGTCTGCTTCACGGCGTTCGGGCCGAAGCGACAGGTTCAAAACCATTCCAAACCACTGGGTGCGATCAATATATCCTGTGGAAAAACGAGCCCCTGTTACTTTCCCCGCAAAACAACCAAAACCATCCATACCCTTTTGATTTCCCAAGAAAACCACAACAAATACCTATCTCCTTTTGGTTTCCCGCGTACCGAGGCGCGGTTTTGCAGAACTCGCTGCTCTCTTCCTGCCGACGTTTCAGACGAGAAACCCCATTGCTCTGATGGAGTTGGGCATCCTCATGAAGTACTTGGACCCTCTGGGGTAGGGCGGTTGTAAAGGGAAACCAAAGGGAAAGCCTCTATGTTCCAAGGGCATTTTCAGGTTTTGGGGTTTCAGGGTATGGATGCTTATGTACCACCAACATAAGCTTGTAACGCAGTATATATATATATATGTATAGCGGATTATAGCGGCATATATATATATATATATTAATATATACACGCTTTATGCAAGTGGTAGCTCTCGCCTCCACCTTCAAAGCTACCTGCAAAATGCCAACTTGAATTTTGGGGGTGCCCAATTTTCGTAGGAGTTGTTATCTGTCTCTTTGGGGAACCAATTTTGAGGTCAGGAAAAGCCCATCAACATGGTCCGCCTCCAAAGCTTGGTTGCTTTCTGCTTTGTGCAGAAAGTTCAACTTTTAGTGGTTTAATGGAAAACCCATTAGTTGGCAAAAAGTTAAAGTCCTAACATGCAAGCAAAATGCACCAAGGAAAAGGCTACACAGAAACCTGATAGTCAGCTTCCCTCTCATTGGTTTGGAGCTCGGTGGCTTGGTGTTTTTGCCCGAGGGGTTTCCCAGGATATGGAGTGAACGCCCCATGTACCCTGTAGAAGAACCAGGGGTTCAAATTCCCAAACCACCAATCCAAACCATTTCGGGGAAGCTGATATATTGTCTGCGTCTGCTTCACGTTTGGCCTAGCCTAACATAGAGAAACACAGCATTTTAGAGGAAACCCGACATGGGTTGGTTGTAAGGCAAACCTTTGGGAAAACAGGACCCTTCATTGAGATCCACCAGTGGTTGGGCACATTGGTGTTTGAAGCACTCTTAACTGGGAAACACGCTTCCACACATTCGGTCCCTTGTGCAAAGGGAACATGCATGGGTGCCATTGTTCGAGGTGCACCCCTTGCCATGGGACAGGATGTGGGTGAGAAGGGGTGACGAGGGTGGCCCACATTGGATTCCCTTTACCCATCGTCACGTAGTCATTGAACCTCCTCTCTTCAAAGCCTGTCCTGTCACTCTACACAAACAGCACTCCATCTGGTAAGCCTCCTGAAAAGCTGGCAAGAAAGGTACCTCTCCGCGGAGAGTCGTATGATTCCCCTAGTTATATACCTTGGTAACTGAGTCAATGATAGGCGCCATGTCAAAATCACCCTTCCAAGCAGTCAGTTTAAGGGACATGACCCTGAGGCCCCTAAAACGTTCTTTTTCAGCACCAGATTGGATAAATGAGGTTTTTCCGAAAATTTGAGCACCAGATCGGTTTTTTAGCACCAGAACGGCTTTTAGAACACCAAGATGATTTCGCAACACACATGTTTACTTTTACGTAAAATGTACGACATGCGAACGGTTCGCGAACGGTTTGCGAACTGGTTTTGAACGCTTTACAAACGGTATTTCCAACACCGAATCCTAGGCACGGCCCATGCCATGACGCAAAAAGAACGTAAACATGCACCGGATTATGCAAAAATAACGCAATCAATGGATTCCCAGCAAGCAACATCAGCAACATAAGGTTGGGTCTGCTCCGCAAGCCCGAACGGTTTATATATATATATATATAGCACCAGTGTTGAAATTTCAACACCCAGAAGGCAAAACGATCATTTTCCTGAAAAACGATCAAATTCAACAGTTTTTGGGGCAGCAGGACCCCAGTTGCTGACTTTGACATTTTGGAAGTAATGACAATAACGGCCAAATGAAAACTATTCGTTGTCAGTAATCATGTCAACATGTTCTGAGCCCCATTAAGCATTGAGTTGGATTGAAGGACAATGACCCGCATGAAGCTTGAGAAGACGAGGGGAAACCATGTATATAAAACCTGGAAGGTAAAGATTCATGGTTACCTGCCTAGGCTCGCGGTCTTCTCACCCGCCCAAAGTGAGAACTTGTGGCTTGACATGGACACCACATGACACCACTAAGCCCGAAATGCCTAAAAAACCTAGGAACCCGATGGCTGGGAGCCGGGAACCCCCAAGCTACTGCGGAACAGTAGGAGCTTCCCCTAGGAGCTTGGGCCCTCGGAGGTCTGGATGAAAATCCGAAGTCAACACAAGCCCACTGGCTGGTGATTGGAAGCCGCAGTTTTGCTCGTTTGCGATCCGTCCCATAAACCCATGCTATGCAACTTGGCTCTCCGTTTTCAGCTCCCCTGCTAAAAGTGACGAACTTGTGGGTGAAGTACGGAAAACCCACCACCAAACCTAGAAAGATCTAAGCTAAGTTGAACCGGATGGCTGGGCTTGCCACCAAAGCAAACGAAGCTCATCTTGGCTTCCCTGAAGCCTTGCCGCTTTTTGCCCCGCCCCCATCCCCCCAACCCCCCCCCCAAAAACAAAAACGACCCGACACGCGTGTCCTGGAGGCTGAGCTCGCAGCTGGAGTGGTCGTTGATCAGATCCGTGGGGTGCGAATCGAAGCTGCAAAATCCTGAGGTTCCAAACATCGGGTCCCACCCTTCCGATTTGGTGGGGTGCACTTCCGCAGATGCCCAGTGGATTTCCACGGGATACCAAATAGTCGGCACCCTTTTGTTGGCTGGTTGACCAAAGAAAAAGAACCCTTCACGAAAAAAGTTGGGAAAAAAGGGCACCACTGGGCAACTGGGTCCCGGACCCTTTGGTGGTGTCCAGTTAGGTGGGGATTTATGTCCAGCCACTTTTGAGGTGGTTCCCTATTGGCCATTTCTTGTCGGCCAGAAAAAGTCTGCAACTGGACTTTTTTATGTACCACTAACTCACTTCTCCAGTGGCCTGGCCAAAAAACAGAGGGAACCACACGCAGTTAACTAAAGTGGTCCAAACCCAAAAAGAAGATGAAGCCCAGGACCTGAGGACCTCAGGACCTCAGGACCCTCAGGCTCAAATGAGTCACAATCAAAACCTGGTTTTAAAATGGTCTACCCAGAACCATGTACAGGATTTAGAAGGCGGCCGCAGCTATTTATGGCTGGGATTGGCCCTGACTAACCTTCATCTACCCAGGTTTTGATTGTGGCTCAAATGGTCCAACCCAAAGGCACAAAGCAACTTGCAACCCAGGTCCTCATTAAGAGCCCCAGCCCATTGGGGGCTCATTGGCCAAGCTAATTGGGGTCATGTTTTTTTTCCTCACCATCTCCTTCCAAAAGCAAATGCCAGAGAGATTCTGTCACATGCCAAAACCGTTTTGGTTTCAAGGCGGAAAACGGAGACTTGAGATGCAGGCTTTGGCCGACTGTCCTTTTCCGCACCCATTTCCGCAAGCATTTTTTAGCGGTTTTTTAAACCCCGGCCCGTCTGTCAAGCATGACACTCCCGATGCCATGATAAACCCGTGCAAATAACCAAGGGAACCAGCCTAAGACCAAAAGGAATTTGGCGAAGGGTTACCAACTATAATCAGCAATCCATTGACAGTATCTTCCTCATTTGTTCTGCATATGTCTTGAAACTCGAAATGGGCTCGATTCCTTTGCTTCAAAACCAAAATGTCTTCCCCGTTCGCCTCCAAAGAAACACACATCCATATTCAACGGTCATGGCCACTTCCCCGGAAACAACCTGAGTTTTGTGTTCCTCACTTGGTTTCCTCTCCATTGAAACATATGGAACAATATATTTCAGTTTCGAAGAATGCAAGGCTTCACCTCACGGCACCTCGCTTCCCCTCACTTCGTTTGTTTTTCCCTCCCTCGCTGTAGCCCAAAACCCGCCCCCCCCCCCCAAATAGAAATATATATATATATATATGCTCACCCCCCCCCCAGGGTGACCATATATATATATATATATATATTTAAAATACCTTATGCATGCAAACACTTCAACAAGCATGCATCGCATGGTGGCAACAGATATTATCTGAGTGCATACCGATTCACCGACCCCGCAGAAGCCCTCATCAGCCTTCAAAGAACACAATATGGAAACTCGGTGCCCATGGAACCGTATGCATGTCACCAACCGCCCTGAAAGCACAAGGGGCCCCATATGAGAGGGATGGGATGGGGCCATGGGGCCCAGGTTGCGAAGTAGAAGCTTTGTGAGGTTGCCAGTTGATTTGCTTGAAATCACGCGATTCCTGATATTTCCGCTTAACACATCGCGAAACTCATCCTAAAAGTTCTAAAAGATGCTGTTTAAAGCCACGGAAAAGACAAGTATAGGGACCCCTGAATCAAGATGGGCACAATTGACAATTGCGACGCGAGGATTTGGGTTCCCCAAATAGGAAACCACAAAATACCCATAGCTCGAGAATCCTGAAAGATTCTTTTGGGCACCAGCTTGGCCCGATGGACCTTTTTTCCACGACTCATGATTGAGGTCGTGAAACTTCGTCGTTCCCTAACCCCCAGGAACTGCACACAGCAAGCGGTCGTCCCTTCGCTTGTAAAGCCCTTGCTCACCAGACAGCAAAAGGATCCGCTGCGGCGACAGGCCGCCAGTGAAGCGAACGCTTTCTTCTAGGGGTACCTTCCATTTCCATTCTTTCCAGGCATCCTTCTTTCTAAAAAAAACACAACAAGCAACCAAATCCCTGCAAAAAACAGCCGGTCTTTCGAAAAGAACGATGCTTGCAAAGAATGGGAAAGGAATCAACCCCTAGATTTCTTTCTCTCCGTGCCGACACCGAAAGGCACTAAGACTCGTCATCCTTCAGAGCCACTGTCTCGTACACTTTGGACACTGCGCTCCATGCTGGTGCCACACCGCAGGCTTGATGTGCTTGTTCATGCTGCTTTTGGCATAGCGCAAATTCTCTTGAGTGAGTGCATCATGGCCTTTTAGTTAATAGTAAAACAAGCAACCCCTGCTCATTTGCGATCCGTCTCACAAGAACCAGCCAGATGGACTTGTGACATATGCATGTCTTAAATCGTTATCTCTGAAAAGCTGAATGCCCAAGCATACCAGAACAGTCCCTCAGCTTGCTTCGGCTGCAACAGATCCACAAACATACCACTCAAGCAACTAGTTTCCTTGCAACCAAAACCAACCAGCCGCGTGCAATCGCAACAAAAGGGTCAGTAAACGCAAGGCGATCACCCTGTGAGACTTCGTCTAAGTGGCAATGGATCAAGATCGAAATCGCAAAACACATGGCGTTGGGAGAGTGAGGTTCCACCACCTGCTATCAGGGCGGGAGGAAAAACTGAGAATGTGTGCGTATCAGCTTTTCGAAGATGGACTATGGACCAAACGGCGAGATCTGGCCGATTTCTCCTTTGGCTAAGTGAGTTTCCTTGTGATTTCCCATGAACACCATCCACAACCTGTGGCAAAAACACATGTTTTCCATCAGTGCACGATTTACAACAGCAAATGGAAGAAGGGGTTCTGCCCTTTGGAGAACGCCCCATTTCACCATGCTTGCTCCCGGTTTTCAGAGCCAGGGCGCTATCTTGGTACTGGAAGACCGGTGCCAGCCAACCTCCGGATCGAAACTCTTGCAATCGGACTCCCCAAAACTCGATGTCGGTGCTCCTTTTGGTTTTCCTTGGAAACCACAAACAAACGGGTTGGTGATTACTCCCCTGAGCAACTGGTTGTGTATCCTGTGAACATGTCTTGTTCTGTGATAATGATCCCTTCAAAGACATTGTTTTGATTGTCAATTTGCACTGCTGTTAGTTCATGTTGCTCCCCCCTGTTCCCCTTTGTTCGCGGCGTGCAATAGACAAGGAACAGGATATCAATCTTAGACATTGAGATACCCACCTGGACATACAAAGAAATACAATCAAAACATGTTGGATCATTTTGTGTGTTGAGGTCAGCCCGTGCATAAACGCTGGTGTCAAATGAAAGTGCCGTCCTTGACAGAATCCCCCCCCCCAGCCCCGTTCAGTTTCGACAACAAGCCTTAGTGGGGTCCCAGTTGTTTTTTTGCGAAGCGTAATTGAAAAGGATACTTTTTGGGGGAGAGCCTTAGATCTCATGAATCAAAGCGTACACCAAAAACCTGTAGGTCGATCTCGGAACCAGCGGACCTCTTCCACTTTCCATGGGGGAAAAAGCTACTCTTGTTGTGCTATGCTGTTTGTACAGCGAATCTTGATGCTCGGCCAAGTAAGTGGTAAGCCACTTGAAGGCAACAACCCCGTAATAGCAAGGTTGCCCCCGCTGAACGGGGCCGCATAAGCGGGTTCTAAGCTTTTCCGTTGAGCTATACTAACTTGGCCGAAGACCCAAGAGTCTCCCGTGAAAGCAGGTTCGAGGAAACTGGCCAGATCGCTTGGATCAAGGGAACCCATGGTGTTGGAACCCAGGTGTTCCCCTTTTTGGGCGTGGACCCTCTCTTGTTGCATTTATAGGGGCTGCTGGCCCATTCTTGTCAACCAGCGTTCTTTGGAAACGCCTGCCATGTTCCCGAAATCCTAGAGGAGGTTAATTGTAGAAAGGAGGAACCCTTGAAAGAATGGGGAAAGTCAAGTTGACCCAGATGAACAACCCCCAATTTCTTGATATCAGTGTGACCCTAGAAGAACTCAGGGCTTGGGAGATTGCCCCAGATCTGCCAAAGTTGGGCTTTCTTGCCACAAATGAAGCTGATCGCCTCCTTCAAAAACCAAGCACAAAAGACAAAATCAGTCGCTCCTATTCGACCCCAGGGTAGAAATTTGGGAAACCAAAGGGAAACCCTTCAAAGTTTTGGTTGGTCTTTTTTTGGGGATCTCCCAAATGGCGGCTTTCCTGTTGGTTTACTGAAAAACCACGTCAACATCAACAAAAGACACCCTCCCCCCACATTGTTCTAATGATTCATCGTATTTTGGAGAAACCCCAGGATGAACACCGGTTGAGCATCAAGGGTGTCCCGTCTCAAAGAAAACACAGCACTTTTTAGAAGAAAGCCTGAACGAGTATGTTAGAACAGGGAAACCCCCCAAAACAATACGCGAAGTCGTCCTTCCGGTTTCCTTTGGTACACCTTCAAATGACACTGACAGACAAACAGGCAGACCCACAGACAGACAGACAGGCAGGCAGGCAGGCTGGCAGACAGACAGACAAACCGATAGGCAGGCAGGCAGACAGACAAACAAACAGGCAAACAGACCCAACTTCCCCGTCACGATGTGTTCTTTACCCACGGCACGCACGTCGTCAGGGTAAATGGAGCTGCACTGCGTCTTCGCGAGCCTGGCATTGTGATCGCACCCGCGCACGGCCGTGGAAAATGCGGCTAGTACTCACTTCCTGAGTGGATGGCCCAAAAAAAACGTCCATTTTTTGTTGCATGCCGGTAGAATAGTCTTCTCAAAAAGCATAAAATGCAGGAAGATTGGGAATTTTGATGCGGACTTTGTGTTCACTCGCAAAAGGTGGCAACAACTGTCCACATGGTGACAGAAATTGCTCTATTTGGAGGTCGAGGTGGCAACCAGAAACTATTTCCATGGCAGCGGCGATGGTGGAAGGGGCGGCTCAAACTTCCAGTGCAAACTTTGAGTGTGGGCACCCTCTTTCAAGCTTCCATGATTGTTGAATAGCGCTCAAGTGAAAATAGTTCACAGAAAATGCTCCGACTTTCAGAGTAGACCACATGAGACATCCCGCATGCCCATGAACGCAACATTCGCCATGGCCCCAAAATTTGCCAACCAAAAACCCTCAGGCCCTTGTCATGTCGCCATGTTTCGCCCAATGGATGTGTAGGATCGTGAGAAAAAAACACTCAGCTGAAACATTTAGTCAGTCACCATCGAATCAGGGTGTGGTTTTTCTAGGGTTCGGGGGGGTCCCCAAAAGATGGTGGTTTCCATTTGGGTTCCCTTTAAAACCACAAAAAGGTCGGAGGAGGGAGAGGCGGCCAACCCTTTCACCCAACCTGGCTCCGGGACCAAACCTCTTCGGTACTTGTAAATTTCATTTGTTCGCTAACTCCCGGGTTTTCCTACTGCACCCATGAGTATACACCCCTATTCTAGCCTATGTCCAGATAAAACCTGTTCATTTGGCTTATTTGGGATTGTGTCCGATTTGTTGAGAAAAATTGTCTAGGGTGTAGAATCCCGGGGTGAAATAGGAAAATCCTTAGAGTGACCCGTTCAATGTGGCACTAACAATTGTCTTCCGTTCGCATCCGAAAAACACATGATTGTCCTTTAGCGATCGCAGCCCGTTTTTAGAAGCCTGTGAAACAGGTCCCCTCAGTGATTGTTTTGACTTTCAGGGGTGCACATTGCTGTTGAGCTTCCATTTGCTTAAGACCCCTGGAAAAAAACAACTTCCAGTAGTGAAGAAAAATCCTTTTTAAAACCAACAAGGGAAAACAAAAAAAACTGTTCTTAAGCAAATGGAAGTTAGTCATCCCCTCAACTTACCCACAAGGGCATTGTGGCATCTGCCTTCACCCCGTTGTGCCACTTGCCTTCAGCAGACCTTGCGCCCCAGAAACTCCACGTGCCTTGCAGCATTTCCGCAGGTCGAAAGCCCGCAGATGTACTTCTTCAACTCAGAGATGCCCATAGTAGACACGAGCATCACCTGGGAACAACAAGCAAAAACACATGGGATGGGCGATTCAACTCCCCGCATCAAGCGGCGCCAGAAACATCACAGAGCTTTGTCTCCAGGGGAACTCCACAAAGCAGGTTAATCCCATGTTAAATCTGTTCAAGCAAGACTCAAGGGTATGGACCACACACCGAAACCTGTGCCACCCTAGCTCTCTACCGTAGTTGCCCCTGCGCAACCCAGAAATAACAGGTGATCACTTTTTGGGCCAATGACTACTGGAGAACCACAACTGGAAAACCAAAAGGTCAGATCCAGTCGATTTGCTTTGAGCAACTGAGGTGGTAGTTGATTGTTGTCCTAAAGTCCGGGTATCCCCCAAAATGGGTTGACCTTGTTCTCCTAAACCATGCCCCCAAAAAACCGAGAAGCTTAAAGAAACGGCAGACCCCGGTAGGTCAAAAAGGTCTTGTTTCGTTTTGGGCAAGTGAGACTATACCCGGTTAGTAACCATAACCCACAAAACACCACTACAAGTCTCCGTGTGGGTTAGAACCTATTAACCGCTTACTAAGTACCTTGCCCCTTTCAGTGGCTCCCTTGGCGAATGACGAAAAAGCCCCGGGCCCCCCCACCTCCCCCGGGCCCCGCCCCGGTCGCTCTTTCCGTTGCACCCGAGGTGCACGGCAGGCGGAATGGGCCGACGCCATGTGCTCTTGGCACTCCAAGGCGGAAGGACAGTCCTAGGGCTTCGGCGCTTCAGGTTGATCCAAATAGACCGCTGCTGTTGACCCCTCCGCCAAAAAGCAAAGCGCTTTTTGCCAAAAAGTGAAGCACTTCTTGTGGGTCTAGTGGAAAATCTGCCAAAAAGTGAAGCGCTTTTAAAAAGCACCGAAACAATCACCGAAACAAGCTCGTTTGAAAAGGCCCGAATCGTATTTAAAGATTCTTGTGGGTTTAGTGGAAACCCCCTTGATTTCAACCAAAAAGTGAAAGTCGAAAGATCCAACCCAATAGCAGTCAAGCATGCACATGGGATGACCATTGGTTGGAAAAAGACTCTAACAAAAGATACGATATGTCCTACTAAATGGGAAAAGCTGCCCATGGTCATGTGGGGTCCAGGAATATTGATCAACCCCCAAGTGTGCTTGGATGGGGGCTTCCTACATGCTTGGATTCGTCAAAAGGGCGGATTGAAAGGGAACCAAAAGGAAAGAACCGGAAGGTGTGCGGCAAGGAGATGGACCCCACTTTTGTGCGGTGGTTTCAAAGGGAAACCAAGAGGAACGCAATTTTGGGGGTAAAATGAAAAACGTGGTGGTGTGTTAAGGGTGCCCCTTTATAGGTCGATGAGGGGAACTAAGAGAAAAGCTGCCCAGAATCGGGCTCAGAAATCCCCATGTTGACGATGGAAAAGGAGTCCTGAAGGGATCGGAGGTTGTCTTCCATCGGTCAGCTTTGACTCAGTTGCCCAGTTTGGACCAAAAACAACCGGAAGAAAATCCAGTTTTGGAGGTTCCAGAAAGAGACATGAAACCCTGGCGAATGGAGCAAACGGGTGTGTCTGCTTTTGGCGGACCCCACTGGCAACAAAGGGTGATCACCTTTGAAAACCAAACGACTAAATACGGTTGCCAGAACCGGAAAACCAAAAGATCAAAAGGTCGATGAGATAATTGGGCAACTAAGTTCACTTGGGAAAAAAAAACAAAAACACCCTCATTGGGTCTGTTTTGGAACACACCCACGTTGCCCAGCCTGTGTTTCCCCACCCTTGGAAGCGCATGTAAGGAATTAAGAAGGCAGATATCCGCAGCTATGGTTGGGATTGTCCCTTACCAACCTTCATCTACCCGAATCGGTTTTGAGCAAGTGGCTCATGTGCCTATAGCCTTCTGGGCCCCATGGCATGGGAGGGGTCTCGTTTACACATCCACAAGCTGGGCTTAATATTATGTAGTCATTCAACCAATGACTTCTTGGTATTTAGAAAACCCGTTCTTCCCCCTGTAGGTTCCTTTTTAGTGCTCTTTTAGTACTCCAGTAATATCCAACAGGGGTGGTTCCACAAAAACAACATCCAAACCGTTTTCTAGATGGCAGCTGTGGGAGTTGTTGCTATGACTTTACTGCTTCGTCCTTTAACAAGATGCACAAATACTACTATTGAACAGGTAACCAATACCGTGGATAGACAAATGGACATATTTCATGTTACAATATAGGGGTAACCTATTATCATGGAAACCAGCCACAGGAATAGTTACAGGACACTGGGCTGTCCAGTAGAATATCCTGCTGGTTCCTTAGATAGCAAGTACTTACCTTCCCATTAGGGACCAGCAGGGAAACGGTTTGTCTCACTTGCCCAAATTAACTCGGCGACCGGATCTGACCTTTTGGTTTTCCCGTATTGGGTTCTCATTCTTAGCATGGCCCAAAGGTCGACCTTTTATTACCAGCTCCACACTAGGGCAACTGAGTGGTGGTGAGACAGTAACCCAACCATTGTTTTAATGGTTCTGCCAAATCCAGGTGAAAGGACCATAACAATTCTTGGGTTAATATAATTAACCACCATTTACCCCAAAAATTACATGGTCAATGATTCGTATGGGGGTTGAGCACATTTACCGTTCATTGTCATCAACTATTCTTATGGGGCTAGGTGTCCCATGGAGACGCGAACAAGCCCCTTGGCGGGACCTGAGACGGGGCCAACCGAAAGCGTGGCGTTAACGGTGTCCTTTTGGTCGCGTAAAGCAATCTCAAAAGGGGGACAGTGTCGTTCAGTTTGGAACCCTTCCGAGTCATTGCCTCACGGGCCCTGAATTTGGTTGCTCCCCCCTGAGCAAAACGTGAATCACCTTTGGTAGATTTAACGGAAACGCCGCTCGTTTCCAAATTTCTAAGGGCCCATGCGGTCACACCGAAGACAGTGAAGAACACGCCCGTCCCGAAGAAAAGGGGTACCCTAAAAACACATAACTCAACCACACACGCCCAACACTGTGGTAGATTGCGGTCAAAGACCCATAGGACCGATCCCTTTGTTATGCCTTACCACCGAGACAGGGAATTGGTCAACAAGGGGAATGCAGGCAACTCCGCCCATGTCTCTAACGCCAGGGCTCCACAAACTCGTCCGCCCCGCCATTGTTGCAGGCCTCGAAATCATCGACCTCACGCGCGCAGAAGGCAAGAGGCGGGGAACTTAGGTCGTGGGTATTCCTGTTGGGCTTGCTCAAAATAGAAACCAGAGGAAAACCAATTTCGAATGTCCCCTATTTTGAGACAAACTGGTGCAAGGGAATGATTCTGCAAGTCTGAAAGGAAAACCTCTTCTTTCGGAGGTTCCTCTTTGTCGCATGCCCCAAATTTTGGTTTTTGACCCATCATTCGGCGAAATCATGTCGTCTGAGCCGGCAAGAAACAAAGGTCCAAGAAACTCTCATTAAAGAGAAAACTGCTCATGTGAAAGCTGAAAATCGGGGCTGTGGGAAATAGAATCCGCTTCTGCGATACAACAGAAAAGGCTTCCCAAAGACTAACCCCCCTTTTTTAAAGGGTGAGCTCAAATAGGCCCCTTGATCCCACAACCCTTCTGAAAATTCAACTGGGTTTGTCCCAGTGTCATGAACTCCCATTTAAGGTTACTGGTAAAATGTAAATGTATACCAAGTCTACCCCCATGATTTTGTCATTAGGTGGATGGTTGTTATTGTTCGGACGCTTGAGCCTGGGAGAGTTGCATTTCAGCTACGGCTGGAACTCATGTTCCAAGCAGTGTGAGGGCTGCATTTGGAACCAACGCCTAACCACCACGGATTCCAAAACGGCCCGTGCTCTTCCCCAAGGGAGACGCCTCTGATGCTGGCGTTTTTGGGAGAGTACCTGCCCTCCCGCTGCCGCGGAACCTGACAAAATGATGTCAATGGACAAGTGTCACGCTCCACATTGATTCCAGGGCGCCAGTTTGTTGGCCATGTTTTCCTGTCGAAGCCCAACACACGCCTAAGCACAAAGGACCAACACAAAGAAAGTTGAACTACAAAGCTCTCAAGTTTAGATTCGTGGCAAAAACCATCAACCCGCGCTACCATATCCATGTCACACTAAATCGACCACATCCAACCCTACACTCAGCCTTCACCTACCCTATTTCAACCTGAATCCGTTCGGCATGCGTCAAAACCAGGGGCCGGCTGGTGTCACAGTGCACCCTTTGAAAATCCTTTCGCCAGTTTGGGCCCAGCCGATTTTTGGACACAGCCAGATGTCAAAGGGACCTCACCTCAAGAACTCCTGCGGGTTTGTCCGGGGCGTCGACAAGCAAGAGAAGCGGGCATTGTGTGGGTGCTTCTTTGGAAGTGTGTCTGAATGAGACACACTCTTGCTGGTGTAGAGACCCAACATGTCTTCGAGAAAACAAGCGGCAGGCAGCACGATAATGCAGATTCCCTCAGCCAGTTCTATCTTCGCTTTGTTCATAGAAGCCCAATAATTTGGCGATTCATGCAAACTCACGGTGCAAAAAAACAACACTGGATGAGCGCCCGGGCAAACCGCAGCAAATCAGGTCAAGTCTACAAATCAGCGTATGGCCAAATCACCAATTTGTGTGACCTCAGACTCGGAACCCGTACAATGCTTGTCTAAAACAGGGTTTCCTATATTTGTTCTTGATGGTACCCTTTTTGGGGTGGTCTTAAAAGGAAACCAAGAGGAAACACACCTGTTTTTGGGCGTCTGCTGAACAATTACACGCCCATATTTCCGCTTTGAAACAGGAGTGGATGCGCCCACAAAGTGGCTTGCACAGGTTGGTTGTGCCCTGGTCTTTTGTTATACGTAGTACCTTTTGCAATTTCGTTCGTGTCCAGTGGTGGATACAAAAAGACGCAGACAAACCGTTTTCTAGATTCAGGGTCCATAATTATCCCTACCCCCACGGAAGCTGGTCGTTTCACCATGGCACACATGCCAATGGACTACACGGCAACAACGATGGCGGCCTGAAACAATCGAGCCAAACTCCAAGCGGCAGCTTGCAACTTGGATGCAGCCGAGCAGCCAACAAGTTGTGTGTCAGCGGCACCGGCGTAGTCGCAACTTAGATGCAAATTCTGGTGGAAGGCAGGTGGTCAATCATCATCACAAGAAACTGATAGGGGTCCAACCTGCAATCCAATCTGCAGAACTGCTCACCAAACATGATATTTCTGGGCAAGTTTGTCCATTGCTCTTATAGCTGGCTCACAGCATTCTAAGTTCCTCTGCGGGTATGCCAATCACACAAACCAGATGTTCGAATCCGAAAATGCCCTACTGGGTAGGTCACACCCCACCCCCCCAAATTGGCTTCAACCACAGGTCGTTACCAGTTACCGTGGCCTGCCCCGACTTGCAGTTCCAATTTCATGGATGCCTGGAACTTCCAATTCGGCTCCACAAAATGAGAGCAACTTGTGAATGATGCCCATACTTGGCAAAAAACATCTCAGGTAGAGAATCCCGCATATGCTCTATACCCTCAAGAAGCCAGCTATGTCTCACTTTCTGAGTGGATTGGCCAAAAAAGTGTCACCAAACTTTGCGCTTTCCACAAACACGTCCTTCGCAAAGAGGTCTAAAGTCCGAATGGGAAGTGAGCCCAGAACCTTCCAAGTGAAGTGAACAAATGTGTGTCCTGTTTCAGTTTCAAAGGCAGAACACGAAGATTGGGAGCTCACTTGCCCCTATGGGACCTGGAAATACAAGGTGCTCACCTTTTGGGACCATGCCCAGAGGGTTTTCTTGGTACGTCCTGAGGAGCTACTGAACAACCCCTTTCTACCCCCGCAAAAGCCATTCTCATGAGGTACCAAGGGACCCTCTGAAGACTCTGAAATGACTAAAGATGTGAACCGACAATGGGAAAACCAAAAGGTCAAATCCAGACGATTCGCCTTGGACAACTGAGGTGCGAGGGTACGCCGAATCGAGTGATACTGTGGATGGACGAAACATGACGAAACCCATTTCGCACCACCGTTCAGAAACCCTGGCTTCTGATGATTCCCTGGAAAATACCAACAAACGTTATGGTTTCAATTCCATGGTTTCAATCTGGTGCGAACGGAAATTGTCCATCCACCGCTGGTGTCCTTTTTGGTGGTCGAAAATAGGAGGTTGACCTCAGTTGACCGCCACAGTAGTGCGGTGTCCTTTCGCGGTGCGGTCTCAGATTTCGAGTTCAAGCCTACCAAAACAAAACAAATGGCCAAAAAGGGCCCAAAATACAAAAAGTAAAAGTAGCCAAGAACACAAGACCCAAACAACAATAACCCTCAGAGGGTCCCTTGGTACTTCATGAGGATGGCTTTTGGGAGTAAAATGCCTAAGTACGTCCTCATCAGGTACCAAGGGACCCTTTAAGAACACCATAACCCCCCCAAAAGTCAGTGAACTAAAATTTGTTTGCAAAAACGGTGGCCAAGAACACAAGACCCAAACAACAATAGCACAAGAACCCCCCTAAAGTCAGTGAGTTCTCTTTCCCGGTCCCTCGTCCCCTTCCAGCGATCGAGGGGCCGGGGCCATGTGCTCTTGCCGCAGCCTCCAGCAGCTCCGCCAGGCGGCTCTCGTCCGCAGCCTTGGCAGATCAGCGCAGCGGTTCTTGAGGAACTTGGTCCATTTACTTCTCATTTCTCAGGCTGGAACTCCTTCCCCCCCCAAAAAAAATCATACGGCATGTAACGGCATGTGCTTCTCATGACTGGAACTTCAAGGAAACGTTGGGAAATGGATATGTCTAATCATGATAGACTCCTCATTTGTGGTTATTCTTTCTCCAGCTGGAGAAAAACAAGGATTGAAGATACCTCCAGAAGTGAGAGATTCCTTTTTGGAACCAGCCTAGGGGAAAATAAGAAACAAAGATTCTGAAGCAAGTGTGGCTGGAATGCTCACGTCCGACCAAGATAATGTTGTGGTTATCACTTGGTTCAAATCCAAGCTGAGAGCCCAGGAACTCGGGGACTTGACTCATCCCACCAATCATTCCCAAGGAAGCATGTGTGGCTGAAAGACTGGTTCTTGATTGTCCTGCTTTTTTCCGCAAAACCAGCCACTCACTCCTTTCCTCGAAATCATACATTCTGTATGTAACGGTATTTAAAGGGAAACCAAAACTTGGTTGCTTTCTGCTACCCTGCTAAGAGTTGTTTAACTTTCAGTGGTTTAATGGAAAATCCATTAGTTGGCAAAAAGTTAAAGTCCTGACATCCAAGCAACATGCACCAAAGAAAAGGACGCCACCCGTTGTTGGGGCACCTGGAAAGAAAAGAGGGTTCTTCTGGGGAAACCGCCAACCATGGCTCTGCATGACCACTGGGGGCTACGACTTGATACCCTTCCTTTAGGTTGGTTTAAACGGATGCCCTTTCGGTTTAAAGGGATACCCTTTCCTTTGGTTGGTGTAAAGGGATACTCTTTTCTCAGCTTGGTTCAAGTGAACCCTTTCTTAGCTTGGTTTCAAGGGACATCCTTGTCTGCGTGTTCAGGCATCAGTTGCCGTAACTCACAGGGGGGTTTGCGGTTGGATGTGGTTGGTCCAGTGGCGATACTTTGGGCAACGGAATCACCAGGGTTTGGGAAATGAACCGGAAGAAAATATCCTTAACCACCAGTTGCAAATCCCCATGTGGGTCATAACCAAGGGATAACCAATGGCAGTATGGAACGGTGTCAACTTGGCACTGTGTGCCAACTCAAAGGTTGGCGCCATATCCAGTCTTCAAGAAAATACGGATCCAGACCTTGTTCAAAAGGTCGATCTCGGTCCAGAAAGGACCCTTTGAGAGGAATCCACTGGTTGAACATAACAATCCAGAAAGCAGCCTCGGGTCCTGCTGTTCAACCAGAGGCAACACAACTTTACAAACAAATCTCCTCTGCGCCGTGCCGCTAGGAAAACTTTGACTTGCTTAAGCCCCCTGCAAAAAAAGCCAGTTTGACAGATTTCCAACCAACAGGAACAAACACATAAATGTTTAAGCAAACAGAAGAGGGGAACAGTTGGACGAATTATGCAAAACAACAAAACTATAATTCCAAAAGCAGAATTAAGGGTTCCCAAGTAAGGGCCTTTGTCATGGTGACCGCATCATACCCCCACCCAGGTATAGGCAAATGAATCCCCAGAAAGTCGTCCTTAAGGGAGATGAAGGCGCCAAAGGTCTCACGTCTCACTCCGGATCGAAAGGATCCGGGCGGGACGGCTCTGGGCTTCGTGCCGCGTAATAGATGCAGGCCGACTTGGTCTCGCCCGCTTGCAAAGAGCCCAAAGGAACCTGAGGCGGAAAAAAGACAAAAAACAAAAAGCGGAAGCCCAGTGAGTAGCTGGGATCCGGATGCATGAAAAACACCTGAACATTGCAACTTGTAAATGGTGGTTTCCTTGTATTTTGGTGGAAAAAGCAACATGCTTCAGATGGGCAAAATGTATCTTTTAAGGAGCCCTCAGCATTGAAGGCTAGGTAACTGGAATGGGGTGGCGGGGTACCTTGCAAAACAGATTTCACGATTGCCGGGGCCCCTACCACTCAGTTCCCATACCTAATCAACAGCTACAGCATTTGGATATTTAAAACAGAAAACGGGCGGGCCACAATTGGGGCTTCATGTGCTAACTGATTGTCACTCGCTTAAGGACGCGATCGGTGATGTACATGGTTGGTATTCTGACAAAAGCCCACTAAGGACCCTGAGTTGAAGTCGCTAAGCCAAATGAAACCTCCCACCCAAGCCTTTTGAGGGGTTTGGCGAATTCACGGCTCCAGCTGTCTCTCCTTCAAAGTTGCAGTATGTATTGATTTTGTTTCATGGCTAAATTAACCCCTTCCGTGATTGGGTACTGCTCCCTTGCCCAACCAGCTTCGTAAATAACCCCCCGGCGGGTGTTCGGGCTTCGTCGAAGTGAGGTGCAAAAAGCTTCTCACTTTTAGCTAGGTATATATAGTGGTCAAACAATAATCCTAAGGGCGCTTCCGTCCAAGGGGCAAACCATGTGCCATTCCTTGTTGTTTCCCATGATCCTCTTGTCCCGACGGGGACCCGTAGTTGCGGATTAAGATTTTTAAAAAAAAAAAAAAAAAAAAAAAAAAAAAAAACCAAAAAAAAAAAAAAAAAAAAAAAAAAAACTAGTCACAGCCCGTTGGACATGGCCCAAAAAAGATGACACCACAAAACAGGGTTGCTCACCCAAAGGCCCAACACCCCAAAAAAAAAGAGAGCAAAGGGTGTGAATGTTTTTGAGGGGTACCCCAAGAATGGTGGCTTTCCCGTTAGTTTCCCCTTAAATCTAGCCAAAAAGGGGGCAACCAACTCAAAAAAATCCACACCCCAAACCTCAAAAACCTCGTGATAAACGTAGGTCCGTCCGAAGAAGTCACATTGAAGCTGAGCCAGTTTCCCACCGACGGGAAAAGCGGTGCCCAAAGCCTCTTGACTCCTGGTGAACCACGGTTCTAAGGTCATGGCTCGTCAATTTGTTGTGGCCACCCTCATTCGGGCTCAGCGTTTTTCTTGGGAACTTGAAAGGGAAACCACGCCTTCTTTTCTCTTCTGTGTGGGGAGGGGTCCCATAAGAAAATACACACCCATGTAGACCTTTCTATGGCGACCATGGAACCGCCAAGTAGAACCTTCTGTGATTTTGGGGAATCGGGTTTGGGTGCGAGGTATCACAAGCCGTCGAGGTACTGTGGATGGACGAAATCCATTTCGCACCACCTAACAAACCCTGGTTTCTCATGATTCCCCAACGTAAATACCAACACGCAAATGGTGTCGCATGGTTTCAAAGTGGTGCGAACGGATTTCCTCCATCCACAGTATCACTACTGTCCACCTAGATCCCCCGGGCGTCCGGGCGTAGATGGCATAGGCGCCATCGGAGGTGGAGTCCGCCAAATCCGAGGCGGTGGCGGCCTCCGGTTCATCGGTGGCTCCCGAATCCATTCTTCTAACCCTTCAAACAACTACTCTCCCCCCACGGTTGAAACTGTTCTGCACAAAACCCGTTGATAGATGTAGGTCTGTCCACCCAGCGTCTCCTGGGGCTTTCAATGGGAAGGACCCGACCCCTCCATTAGACACCCCGGAGCTGGTTGGGGGTCTCAAAACCAGGTTGTTTGAAGGCCCTAAATCAATCGGGAGCCTCTCGGAAGGGTGGAAGTACATACCCCTTGCTCATACCTCTTGGCTTCTGTGGTTTCCCTTTTGGGGAGAGCGGTATGAACATCAGTAGGCCTGTTGGGTTCATTTGTCCAAGGGGGATGTAAAAGTGGTATGTACAAGCACCCCTGGAATTCTGCCAGTAGCACAGTCACCCCCGAGTGGTTAAATAGAGCCTTCGTATGGCAGTTCCCAATGAATCTTTGCAAACCCTTGGCCCTGAAGACTTTATGTCCACTTTTTAACCACTGTTGAGGTGAGCCCCTAGCTCCATTCTTCTGCCAGTATGAGATTTCTGGTTTTTACCTTTGGTCTTTTGGAGTTCTCGGGAGGTGAGCAAACCACTTTTGGAAACCCTTGGGTCTCGGGATTTATCGGGATTTATCGGCCTTTGAGGGATTTGAGTCACCACTTTTACCACTTTTGAGGTGAGACCCTTCCATTCTTCTGCCAGTCTCAAAGTCACCCAAGTGCTGGGTGAAATGGAAACCACCGATTCCAGCTTCGGACTTTGATAACCCCCAAGGCTCCATTATTTCTGCTGTTTCTGCTTTTGGGGCCTGACCCCCCCGCCGCTTAACAAGAAAACACCGCGCACTTAGCTGCACTGAGCGAGTCGCAAAGACAAAGTATCAAAGTCAACCCCCCGCCCCCCCGGGCAGCGGTGAATTGGACATCACCGATTCCAGTTTCGGACTTACCCCCAGAAATGGTCCAAAGAATGTGTCCACTTTTACCACTTGTAAGGTGAGCCCCTATCGATATGCATAGCCATATATGGTATTGCAACTAAACCCACAAGCCCGGCAAATTACAGGGTTTGTTGTCTTCCAAATGATCCCTTTCTTGGATTCTTAAAATTATATATATATATATATATGTACATATATATATACATACATATACTATTTTACGGCAAGACACACAACCATAGGGAAACCAAAGGGAAGTCCAGAAGAATCTCTGGCAGGTTGGACAGTTGGACCAACCCCAAGTTCCAAAAAACAAGCCCGGGTGGTATCCCCAACAGCCCGGAACCTGCTGGAACCCTCCGGAACCCTCCCTGAAAGCTGCTCCAAACCACCCCAGAGCTTATCCGGGCCTATCGACTCCATAGCTTTCAGCTGTTGGGGAAAACCTATACTGTGGATGGACAAAATCATGCACCGCGACATGAAACCCCGGTTGAAACCAGTGTTTGCCGGTATTTACAGGAGAATTCTCAGAAACCAGGATTCACCCTGCGGTGCGAAAATGGATTTCGTCCGTCCACACTGCTTGAAAACCGAGCTTCCCTTAGAAAAGCCATGGTCCACTTGAGCAGCACAGGGCAAACACCCAACTTCTTCTAAAATGGCAACCATCTCCATATGGCTGCGGGCTGCGGGTCAAAAATGGGTACCCAAAATGGGACCCTGGCAAGTGGAAACATGGACCAAAACCTGCGGTTTAATTTTGACCCACACCCATATAGCCCTCAAGCCAGGGAAACCCAGCACTTGCCAAAACTTTGGTCCTTGGGTGAAGGGCTCTGCTCACTTTGCACTTGGAGTCCTGCCTGGACATCGTGCCACCGGCCGTAGTGCCGCAAAATGATGGCCTCACTCTGCGGGTCTGTGGAGAAGACAAAGACGGACTCCTCACCTCGGATTCAGCGTGCTTCCACGAGAGAGGCCGTTGCCTCGGTTGCGTTGGTAGGTTGACTTGACTTCAGTGGCGTTGAGCTGGTTTGGATTGGGTTGGTTGTTTGGCTATAGCAGGTTGCCCAAGTACTTGTCAGCTTTCGGCTTTTGCTCACCCCAGGGTGGCCTGAAACCCAAGCAAGTACTCCCCTGATTGGCATGGAACCCAAAAAGGGGGGGTCTCTAACAACCAGTTGGGGGTAGTGCCCCGAGGTCGATGGTGTATTGGTTGCTGCTGGGTATACTGTCGGGTATTCAGGTGGGGATTCGATCAGAACTTCCTCCATCGTCTTCGGCCAATGTGGGGATGTGTTGTAGGGGTAGTCCGCTTTTGACCATGGCTCGTGGCACTGCTGTATGCGTTTCGAAAGTTGACGCTTATGTCAATGTTCAAAGCATGTTCAACTCTATGCCGACGGACATACAGAATTGCAAAGCTTTGTAAAGCGCAATTCATGTTTTCTTCCCACGTCTACAGGCCTTCTGTCACACAAATGTGTTGTTGGTTGGTGTTCCTTTTTTTTAACTAGCCCCGGCTTTTTACTAGCCCCGCTCCAGCACAAGCCGCCCCCATGTGGCTCTGGCTGGGAACCCTTGCTTCGCTCTCAGGTTGGGGGCAACAGGTGGTATCCTGGTTGGCCAGGTTGGGGGTCGGTGGGCCGCATCCCCAGCATCCACAGCATCACCGGCCTCGCTCGGACTAGGGCTGCGAATTGGCTTTGATTTCGTGGCAGTTCGGAGTTGCTCCGGGGTTATAATGAGGGCGGGTCTTGGGTTTGAGGTTCATTTAGGCTTTGTAAAGGGCGTTGCCCCAAACCACCCAAACCAGCCCAAAACTTGCGCAACCACGCCCTGAAGCAGCCCAAAGGCTAGTGCACAAACCGGGCCGCGCACCTCGCGCAAATCAGCTCCAAGCCAACCCAAACCGACTCAAAGTCAACCTTAAACCCTCCCAACAGCATCCTGCATATCAGCCCCTTGCAAAGCCTAAATGAACCTCAGACCCAAGACCCGCCCTCATTATACAAGACCTCAGCAAGCCCAATCGCCCGAAACCAGCCCGGAGCAACTCTGAACGGTCCGAGCGAGGCCGTTGCTGGGGAGCTGGGGATGCGGCCGCCCAACCCGAGCCGGGGCTAGTTTTACAAAACACAAAACATCAGTTCCATGTGTTGTTGAGTCGACAAAACGCTGTGAAAGAGCTGGGATACAATATGGTCTCCCCCTGATGTAGTACACGCCACATGTTTCAGCCATTTGGCCAAGGATAAATCAACCAGTTGGAGGGGTTCGACTAGGAATTCTGCAAAATTGGGTGGAGGAGGCACTTTAAGATTAAGGCAGGGTTGTCCTTTCTGCCATATCCTTGTCTGGGCTCAGTAAGAGCGATCTTACAATCTTAGCACCCATGCACTCTTCCAATATGGTAGATGCAAAAGAACAACCCAGCATCATGAAGAACACATGAAATTGGTTGTGTTACCCTTTGCCCCCCTGCTCGGTCCACTCAGTGGCTCCAACACTCACCGAAGCATTCCACAATGCAAAATTATCCCGAGTAGATTAGCCGCAACAAGTCAACACTTTTTTTTCCGCAACCATTTGTCACTCTTAGACAAAATGTTATTCCGCAAAAATCTGCTCAGTTGCCCAGTTGCGACCCAGGAGTAAAAGCTTAACCTTTTGGAACCAAACGACTAAACAATGGAACCCAAAAAAGGGAAAGCATTTGTCAGATCCGGTCGGCTCGCTTTGGGGTGAGTATAAGGTCGTGCTGGCAAAGTTATCTAGGTCCTCCAGTAGAGAGGTTAGAAAAAGGGTACCCACGTTTTTTCACTAGTCTATTTTAGTAGGGGGAACCCTCCTCCAAAAAGTTGGTAAAAGGGCACCTCGCTCTCAAAAGTCCACCTTGTCCATGGACCCTAGGCTACTTGATTAGGCATGATTGAGCCCTCGCCTTATGGCGGCGGGTTGCGAGTTCTTCAATTCCGTTTCTCTAGTCGCAAAGGGACCATGGAGCCAGCAACGAGGGGGTGGGGTGTTCCCTCCTCAGGTTGACCAACCCTTTCAGGTGTGGGGGATTGATTGTTTCGGGAGCGGACAACACGATCAAGTGTTTCTACAAACTCCTGCAACTTTCCGTTTGCAGCTGCCAACATAAAACGGCTTAACCACCCCAACTGAGCAGGAGCAGAAAGAGCTGCTCTCTCTTCAACTTGAAGCCATCTCAGCAGTCTTGAATTGAAAGACAAACCAGTCAACATGGGTTTGTCTTTTTAGGGGAACCCTCTGTTGGTTGGATTTGAAGGGAAACCAAAAGGAGACCAGCCATTGTTGGAGGTCCCCTTAAAAGCAACACACACACACACTCACATGGAGCTCCATTAACATGAAGCGCTAGTTCCGGTTAATCCCAACCAAACTTGAGAAACCATCCGGGAACACAAGTGACTCATTACCCAGCAAGTGGCCTCGATGTTGACACCTGATTAATTTGCCCCCCCCCCCCCTCAGATATCAATCCGGGATCCCGGTCCCTTTTTACCTTTTTACGCTTTTTTAGTGGTGGGATTCCTTTCTTCCAGGGGACCCTGGTTAATGACTGAGTGGCTTTTTACTCAGGGGCTGACATTGCCTTCTTAGGGGTTCTGATTCTCCATTTGCTTAAGTCTCCTGGGAAAAAACAATAAAACATAAGAATATGTCCAATAGTGATAGATTCCCTTGAAAACACACAGGGAAAATCAACCACATATTAATTTCAGCCAATGGAAGGAAGGCTCTTGCCATGGAAGGAAGGGCTATGGATCGAAGGCTTCCCATTTCCGAGGCGCCGCTGTGCACACGCAACACCTTGCCCTTCGCAGAGGGCTCGAAGTGAGCACCCACGAACTTGCCTGGCCCGAACGCTGAAACAACCCGCCTACCCGACCGGTTTCAGGCAAGCTAGGAAGTGGCGATTTTGGGCTGTCTGCACCAAAGGATTCCCTGCTAAGAGTGACGAACTTGTGGGTGAAATGGAATCCTAGCCACCAAAGCAGCTATTAAAAAAAAAAACAAGCACTAAATACCTCAGGAACAGGATGGCTGGGAGCCACCAAGGCGAGTAACTTGCTTACAACCCATCGCAAGTCCGCCAAGTGAGATATAACACGGGTTCAACAGATCCTTCTATTTTCAGCAGCTGATCGCCCGACAAGTGGGATGCTAGTCGCCTCTAACCCATGCTTTTCAACAATGTGGCTTTGGTCAAACTGACCCCCGGCCGACCACAACTTGCGGGTCACTTGAAGTGACGGACATCCTGGACATGATTCCTCGAAATAGCGGCTTTTAAAGGGAACCTCCCAGAAAACACTCAAAATGCACTTTAAGGGGCCCAGACTTAGGTTGGTCAAAGCTGGAAGTTGGAACCTCATTTGCAAGGGCCAATCATGCAGCACCTGCACAGAAAAGTCTAAAAATCAGGAAACCTTCCAACTGGTTGGTCTCCTTTTGGTTTCCTTTTGGCTTCCCTTGAAACGAGTGGTTCACATTGCAGGGTTTGATCTCTCGAAACATCTCTCGGAGCCTATGAGTGTCCTGTCAGGATCCGTTCACTTTTCACATGGGGTTTTGTGACACCCCTAAGCCAAGAAGAGACCCCCAAAAAACAACATGGATGGTAAAGACCACGCATGCAGCAAATCGGGTTCTAAGCGGCTCATTCCTGGGTTCGTAGCTGAACTCCCCTGGAAGCCAACATGGAGCCCCCAAAGGGGGTCCCGCAAAAGGTGATTCCTCCAAACATGGTATGTGGGTTCCATGTTCATCTGCAGCTGTGAACCTTCTGAACCGTAAAACCTTTGATTTGGGCAACTGATGAAACCAAACTTTCTAGTGCTCGGTAGGTACTGATGCAAGGTTTGGGAATGAACGGGAAGGGGATTCCCTGAAAGGAAACTACACAAATTGTCCATGGGGTTGATTCCCTCATTCCCTGCTGAGAACCAAGCAAATTGCAGGGATCGAGGGGTGGACCGACTGACCGACTGACCGCCACGCTCCCCGCGCCTTGCTCCTTGCTGGGGCGGTCCGTGGTGCCCACCCAATCGTCAGAAGTACCCAGCCAGACCTGCCAACCAGCTGGGACCAGCTGGGACCAGCTCGGGGGTGTCAGTTTGAGGGTACCCTCGTTTTTACGTTGCCACAGCACCTGACAGGGAAATGGACCCTGCAAGAAAAGAAAAAGATCTTCAGGCATGCCTTTTTGGGGGTTGATGTCAAGGGACACCCATGAAAACCCACCCATTTCCTGAACCATCCGGGCATTTCCCCCCATTTTGAGACACATCCAACTCGTGTTTTTTTCGTTTTTGGAGAAGGCGCTGGAGCGGCTCTTAGTGGCGTGTTGGAGTGACAAACTCAATGAAAACCCCGGATCCAATTAGAAGTAATTTGTTGATAGGGATCGAGTCCCGAAGTGTGGGGAATCGCTGTTGGAGGCCCAAACAACCCCTCGAACAGAACGGGTCCTACTGAGGCTATTTTGGGAGATTTTGGTCATTGTAGACCTGTCTTGCTGTACGGGATGCAAGTCTTGTCAAACAAAAACACCCACCCCGAAAACTCCGGTGCATCATTTCTAGGAATCGGTTTGGATGCGTGTTTTGTGGATTTCACCTGTGTTAGTCATATTTTAGTAAGCTTTAGATATCCTACTGGGTGGATCCACACAAGCCACATCTAACACGTTTTCTAGATCCTTGTTTGGTGAAGTCAAAGGAATGAATTGCACACTGAACTCAGAAAACATTGGAAACTACAGAACAGTCAGATTCCCTCAAAAAGGGTGGTTTGGCTTCGTGGTTTAAGGTTGGGGGGTGGTTTCCCATTTACCTTCTACAATTCTACAAAGCCAGGGGTTCAAATCCAAAAGCACCAACTCCGAACCACCAATTAGGGCTTGCCTGAAACATTGGTGGGTTTCCGTATTGGACGCCCCTATGAAAGCCTTCATGGGACCCAGCTTGCAACCCAACCGCAACTGTGCGTCTTTTTTGGAGTTGGCTACCTCCATTTCCTCCATTTGCTCAAGCCGCCTGAAAACAAAATGTAGATTCTCTTTAACACCAACACGGGATAATAAAACATATCCATTTCAGCAAATGGAAGGTAAGCTTTTGTGGCTTGGTTCGAATTCACCCAAACAAATCGAGGATCGCCTCCCTCAATTTCTAGACGCACCTCGATGCTGTCGAGATCTCTCATCGCCGTGAAGGTATAATTGGCCACAAAGACCATGCCGTCCCCCGTGAAGCTGTAGGTTCCTAGCGCTACAGCCACCTGGACACCCCCAAAGACAGATTCAACTTTCTTCTGATGGGCCCATACAAAGGTGGTAAGCAAAGGCGGACAAACATCGAACCTTTGGGGGCCCCGGCAACCGCTCGCCCATGTAATTTAAGTTGGCGTTTACAAAGCTGGCGAGCCCTGTACCTGCGTACAGGAGCACGGTAGCGGAAGCCCCAGAATTTATGAAGCCATGCGTGGATAGCTTGTGTGTGTGGGGGGGCATCCCCCATCCCAAAACAAAGCCTTGCGGTTGTCCATTTCGTTTCCCTTTAGACTCTCCAAAAAAGGGGTATTGTCCAAACAAAGACAGACCCACACAGTCTTACATAGCGTGTGGCCAGGGGGTTGGGGATTCCTGGTGAATTGGGGTACTGTAGGGGTATGCTCCACACTGGGTCCCGACGTCAGGTTCCTTGCGCCAGTGACACAAATGGGTTCAGCAAGGTCAGCTGCAACTGTCGGCGATCAGAGCAACCCCCCTTGTTGTGGTTTTAAAGGGAAGCACAACTACCCCCCCCCCCCCGGCCACATGGTGTCTGGAAGGGAAAAGATGCTGCATTGCCTGCCTCTCCCTTTCAAGGAGATCAACCATGTGGGTTCTTCGGAACGTGAAAGGCATGAAACACGGAGCCCAGTGAGAAGACGCCATGCTCCCAAACTGCGCAGTCCCAAGATGACACAACAACATGTCTTTTCGGCAAACTGGTTGGCCGCAGGGCGGAAAAGCACACGCGGTCCGGGGCGGTTTGCTGTGAACCGGGTGGCGCGAACCCTATTAACTGCACAGCCGCTGTGAAAAGCTTTTTCCTGTTGGGTTCCCAAGCTCTTTGACGGACATCTGGCTGGTTGCCACCGACCCCAACCTACTGTTCTCCACTGGGAAGCGGCGAAAAGGCTATGGCTATGCTGCGAAAAGGCTCCTGAGTGAGCCTGGGAGGGCCTATACAAAAAGGCTTCAAACAAAGGAGTGGGTACCTCTCCGGGGAAAAGCAGTATGCTGTCTTGGTATAAGTTTATTTGTCATAGCTGAAGCGGTAATTGAGGACTTGCAACCAGAATGAAGCGCATGTTTGTCGAAAAACAACTGAAAAATAAATGGTGAAGTGCTCTTTTGGCTTGCGGGGTGGGGCCGAGACCACTTGCAAAACACGCAGCCTGGACCTTCGTCCTCCTGAAAAAAAAACGTAGTTTCCGCCTTTGACTGGATATTCGGGAAATCGTAGCACTTTTTGCCGCAAAAACCTGAAACTCCTAAAACTCCTAAAAACAGACTATTCCAATGCTCGCGGCCTTTGACAGAGTAAACGAAGGTTTGCAGGGGCAAACGACTGAATGAAGCCCGCAAGTTTGTCAAAACATGCAACGGCATTCCAAAGTTGTGCGGTGCAGAAAAACCGTACCCATTTTGACCGCAAAACGCCCGCAAATTTCCGCAAAACTCCCGCAAAAACCCGCAAACTCCCGCAAATCAGAAAAAGTCGTAGTTTTGATGATCAAGGCATCCCATGGTGTTCACTGGCACGTTGGCAAGTGCTGCGAGGTGTATTTACTTTGTATGGCCAATGCCCGACTGGAAACGACGCAATTCGTATGTGTTTTTGCCCAAATTGTAGCTAAACCACTGGAATTCGGTAAATCGTAGGGGTCTCCTAAAACACCCAGAAATTTCCCGGAGTTTGAAGGTCCAGGAGTGCTGAAACAACCTCCTTTTTGGTTTCTCGAAGGGGGCCAGGGTCCGGGTGGAACCAACTTTGCCCCACCCTGGTACAAGCGGCCAAAGAACTACACATACGAGTACGACCAAACTATGTTTTGTTTCTAGTACCCGAAAACTCCATTCCAATATTTGTACAGGCCCTTTTTACATCTCGTTTTTGATGGAACATTGGCCCTTGTACACTCGTTTTGGACGGACCCTCCGCCCCACAAAACTTCGAGAAACCGCCGCCGGCGCCGAAATTTCCACTTTGCCGCCGGGCAGCTCGACAAGATGGCCTCGGCGAGAAATTCTCTCTGACCCGGCCGACCCGATCCCAGGAGGCCCCGAAAAGTGGTGGCCAGGTGCCCGCCTTTTTGGTGCCCTGCTTAGATGGTCTGGGGGGAATCGCTAAATGGCGAGCTTTGCCCTGCTTGGAACCCACTTACAATGGCTGTAAGTCCCCCTTTAACCAGGGTTACTAGGCATTTAGCTGAGTCCCAGACCATCTAAGTAAGCATCAAAAGGAATCCTCAAAAGGACCCTCAAATCAGGTTCAACACCTGAGATGCTGATTCTGGAGGGTCCAATGCTTTGGGTTTGAAACCCAAAGCTTGACAGTGCCAAGCATTTGCTTGGGATTTAGGCACGAGTTCCGCTAAGCTGGGGTGCTTGCCTCTGGGGTTGCATTTTGCGCCTCGTTGGTTTCCTCTATCCTCCCTTTTTGGGCGTATGCAAACTGTGTGAGTTTTACGAGGCAAACCCACGAAGGCAACCAATGAAGCAAGTTTGAAGCTTCTGGGGAACTGACTAAGGAAAATGCACGGGGTTTTCCAACTGCTTGGGTGATGCTTTTGCACCCCCCCCCCTTTGGCACAGGTTTGGCATACCAGGAGGAAATCAACATTTTTCTTTACATGGTCCAAGAGGTGATGTTAAAAACCACCAACAAATATATGACCATAGGGAAACATGGGAATAACTCAAAAAAGGGTATGTGTTCCCCATACAGGGATTGCGACACAGGGTTCCCCATAAATCACCCCGCAAAAGGAAACGGCCCACATCGCCCAAATGGTAATGTGCCAGGACCTGTTCCTTTTAGTTTCCCTTCAACCTAAGGGGTACCCATGAAGAAATATGTGGTCAAGAATATGGGTGAGCATGGGTTCCCTCAGGCACCTTTGCGCTTGTCTTAAATCCCGAAAGTAAAAGGGCCCATCCCTGACGCGTGTCTTGGGACTTGGACCCTTCGCAGTTTTTGACTTGCTAGCTCGGGAACATGAAGAAAAAAACAAAGGGCAAACATGACCCCCCCTCCCCTTAAGGGGACTGGAAATTCTAGAAAGAGTTCCATGGACACATGAAGAAAGTTGAGTTCAGTCCGGTGATTAGTCACCCAGTACCTTACCAATTGAAAAGGTATCCACTCTGACCCAAGTGAAGAGTTACTCCCCTACAAATTGACGTGGAGCTCAAACAGGGGTGCCGACAAGGAGATTCCTCTAAAAGTGCTGGGTTTTTGGGTTCAATGTTACTCACTTCCTGAGCGGATTGGCCAAGAAAAGTCCCAAACTGTTCATTTATACCACTAAAACGGCCTTTATCAAAAAGTTGAGAGTCCGAAACGAACTCAGGGAGTGAGGTTAAACTGTAAGCACCGTAGGGGAGTGAGTCTGGCACGACCAAATGCGACCAAAGCCGCCGCAGGGCCACCGCCTTGAACCAGCTCCCCAGAGGTCTGCGCCAGCCCCGGGTGGTACCAATGCACCTTCTCCAGCTGGCCTCGAGTTCGCGTGCGCGTGCGCGTGCGAGTGCGCGGGTGAGAGGCCGTGTTTGTGGGGTTGGGTTAACTTCTAAAAAACAAGTTGGATGGACCCAAAAGCGGGGAATCTTGGAATCCAAAACTTATCTTGGATTCATCCCAACAAATCTTGGCTAGGTCCTCCACTAGAGAGGTTAGAATAAGTTGGTACCCTTTTTTCTGATTCGTCTATTTTAGTAGGGGAACGCTCACCCTCGCCAAAAAAAGAAACGGTAAAACAAACGGCACCTAGCTGGGGGACCTAGTTGGATTCCACACGCAGAGGGTCAAAGGGGTCTAAGTACCTCCTTAGAAGGTACTTGGACCCGCTGGGACAAAAGAAGTCCTCGCTCAAACTCGGGTTCTTTGGCTTGGGATTGGATCCTCGAAGTCAACTTGCGACTTGGGATCGACAAGCAAGCAGCCGGGCAGGAACCCACACAAATACCAAAATGGGCCGGTTTTTTCGTGAGGGCACCCATTTTTTGGTGGTTTTAAAGGAAAACTAAAGGAACCCTCTTTTTTGGGGGGGGTTGGGGGGAAAGGAAACCTCGTTCTGAGGGCAGCGCTTGCCATGTCCACTGCATCCCCATTCACCTGCGAAAGAGAGCAGTGGGTCTGAAGGACCGCCGGCTCCCCAACTAGGCCCTCCAGTAGAGAGGTTTGAATAAGTTGGTACCCATTTGCTTTTTCTCGAGTCTATTTTAGTTGGGAGGGTTCTCTCCCCAAAAAGGGGAGTGAAGGGCACCTAGCTGGGGGACCTAGCCAAATTGGGCAGTCACGAGAACCTATCTTGGTATCCCCAATTTCACTTCAGGATCCTTCTGGGTTGGCGAGTCCCCTGTCTTGTTCCGGCTTTCAGACAATTTTGCTAGGCTGGAATAAATCATTTGTCTTTTTTTCCTTGTTAGTAGAAAACAAATAGGACCCCAAAAAAGCACAAAACAAGAAGGGGAGCTAATTCTGGGGAAGTGTGCAGGGTCCTGGTGTCAGGGTATCGCTTGCTGTCCTGCTGGTGACCTGTATGCTAGACAGTGCCAACACGAAACCATCGTTTACATCTGCTGATCATGATGACCCTAACTCGCATTTTTGTTTGGGTGTGTCTCCACACAGGGGAAGGTCCATGAAGGCAACTCCAAAAGCGTGCCGTAAACAACAAGTTCATGAGTCAAACAAATTTGCACAGTTACGTGCTGCAGATGCAAACCCCATTGCTGCGCCAGCGATCAATCCTGGCAAAAGCGACGATGCGCTCCGCTGCCATGGATGCACAAATGTTGTCGCCCGCCATAATATGTATTAAGCCCAGTCAGTTTGTGGTTTGTCAATGGTTGTGACCCACAATCATCTTACGCCCCCTGACGAGGAGCGAACATGGAATTCCCCGAACTTTCGCCGCACCGAAAAGTAACGCTACTAGATTATGGTCTGAACCTTGCAATGCATATAATTGCGGAGGTATGCTGGTAGTATGCCACATATATTCTGGGATTAGGGCCGCACAACCACCTGACAATGCCCTTGACTCTATGCAAATAGGGCAGGATGTCAAAACAGGGCAAAAGTGCGGCCGCAGCAACTTCTCGCAGCTCGAAACATCCCTAAAAAACCCAAGCGCATGCCTTACCCATAGGCAGGTGTTCTTTTCCAGCAAAGAGGAGCACCCAAAGGACTCGAGCCAATTTCTGAGCTGCATCCTTTCAAAGGGCAAAGGAGCCTTGCCATTTGGGTGTGGCTCAAAATTAACCAGCAGTTGCGCAGGTTTTGGTCCATGTTTCCACTTACCAGGGTTCCATTTTGGAATACCGGTTTTCTGAGCAGCCATTTCTCACCCCCTAAGGCGCAGGTCACCCCCCGGAGGCACCCTACGGAAGTGGGAAGGCCACTAGTTGCAGGAATGGGAAACTATGTCCAGTGATGGATTCCCAACAAAAAACCAGAGCGGAAATCATTGTTCTTAAGCAAATGGAAGGTTATTAACAACATACCCAACTGTTGTTTCGAGCGAACTGATTGAGTTTCACCCGTTCTCCCTTGGGTCATTCTGCGAAGACCTCGTGTGACGTCTGATGGTGACATCTAAAGACGCACCTTGACACGGCTCTCTCAAATGACACTCGGTTGCTTTCGGCTCCGCTAAAAGTTTAACTGTTACGCTGTGTTGAACTAACAAAGCAATACAGGCGCTCAGAAGCCAACACACGTGGCAATGCTGGGTGAAATAAACTATGACAGTTGCTTTGATGTTGGAACAAGCGTACTGGTTTGACGGAAAACCCATTCGTTGGCAAAAAGTTAAAGTCCTAACATCCCTTGGCAAAATGCAACTCTGGACAGTTGGGGACAAATGAGCGACCAAAGAGTCCAACTCTGGGCGTTGGAAATTCGGAGCGGCTCACTTTCGCATGTCTGAGAGTCTTGTGGGCGTTCTAACAAAGCCCCATTGGAGCTCATGTTTCGGGACACTACTTGGGTGTTCGATTCGCCAAGTTGTTGGTAACCTAGGTTACAACCCACCTATAAATTCCCCTAAGTGGGGCTGACCTTGTGCTTTAAGGGTTGTACTCCAAATGGCCAACCACTTAGTTAACTTGCCCGAACACATCCAAGCACCATGCATAAAACACATCCGAATCCGAAGGCTCGGGGCAAACCGACCGCGCTGAACCAGAGCTCGCCGGTTCTGCCGCCTTCACGGTGGATTCCAAGTCCTTCTGCGCATAGGTCAGCTTCGTCCAACCCCTTTCCGCTGAGTGGTAGAAGGGCTGACCCAGGCCTCGCTTGACGTGAACGACAGATGCTACCAAACCAAAAAACCTTCTGTGGCTCACCCTTTTTTTGGGGGGTCACCCAAAAAGGTGGGTTTCCTTGTGGCTTTCCTTTACAACCACAAAAAAGGGGGTGTCTTTTGAGGGCCCCCCCCCAAAAAAAACAAACAAACTATAAAACCTGAACCCTCAAACAACCCAGATGAAAGGGAATCCACCCCAACTTCTTGGGGCCAGAACCAATTGTTGAAGGGAATTTTGAGGGTCCAGGTACCCTGCAGAAACCACACCCATTCCATCCCATTCCCCATATTTCATCATCCCAATTCAGGGAACATCAACAGCAACAGGCCTGTTCTAATCCACCAAGAACATTTGCTTGATGACCACCAAAAGGAAAACCACCAAAAGGAAAACTTCAGATCTTAGTCTTCGTTGGAGTCATTGAGCACTGGGTCCTGATTTCCTGAAACACGTTTCTAGGGTTAGATCTAAGGTATGTGAGAGGGGGGTGGACAATGTAGGAGCTCTGAAAAAGGCGCAATGCCCCGCGACGCCAATGACTCACTTGGCTTCGGTGTTTCCTTTTTCCGGTCGACGCCACTGCCTCCATCGTCCAAGAGCTTTAGTCGAAGGTCGGCGGTCTCAAGCATCTGACAGGGCAAGCAACTCGCGTCAATAAACCCAGAGAACCAGTGACTCTGGCAGAGAACGGCAACCCTTGCGGGTATTGTTCATGGGGAACCCTGCAATTTTCTCGCCTGAAAAGGGGAACGGCACTTCGTGATCGTCAAGAGGTTACTCTCCAGCTTCGGTCGGCAATTCCCCCGCAAAACTGGACAAATAGCCTCCTAAGCTACTCTTGGGTCCTCAAAAAGGCCCTTTTTGAGGTCCAACACTTCTATGCAGGGTCCTCTCTCTGATGCGTTGGGCCTGCAAGATGTCAATTACAATCGGCGTTTCCGTTCAACACAGGGCCGGGCTTATGGGTTCCATCAACCTGCAAGTTCCGACGAAGGCCCTTTGGTATATGAACCCTCCACCGGTTTGATCTCAACGCTGCAAATACTTCCCTGCATTGTTCAACACAAAACTCAAAAGGTGGTAACCCCCAAAAACCGATCTGCAACTGATCAGTTTGCTGGAATTGTCTATTGATCTGCAGGCGAAGAAGGTTCACATGTTGGGACCTTGACTAATCAGAGTCTACAGGTCGAAAGGTTGTTTGTTGGTGAGTGTTGGTGCCTCTCCAATGAATACCAGAGGGGTCCAAAGGTGCAAACTCACTTCAGGGTTGGAAAGTGACAAGGCCATCAAACAGGTCATTGCAGCACGTATGTCTTATGGTGAAGAATCAGTGAAGAACAAGCCGGCTACTGCGCGCTCTTTTTGATTCTCATTTGCCTGAATGGAAGTAGGTGCCCTGTAAAACAACACACAGACACAATCACGATGGCGCTGGTAAATGATCAGAATCAAAGTGAAACCACTGCTATCTATGTTCGACACAACGGACCTCGCAACTCAGTTGCCCAAAGGACCCAAAAGTAGAAAGGTTAACCTTTTGGGACTATGACTAAAAACCACGGGGGAAACTCAGAGGTCAAGGGTCGGTTTTGGGGAAGTGCGAAAAGGAAGGCTATATAGCCTATATAAATATACTATATAGGTTTAAGGGTTTGGGGTCCAGGTGTTGAACTTTTGCTGGGGCTGTGAGGGGCAAGCTGGGAACGAACATTCGGCCCAGTGAGTGCCGGCTATCCCTACATGGTCGCTGGCGAGACCCCTCTGCAAAAAATGATTTTTTATGGGTGCAATGGAAAATCCGACCTGCTTCCGAAAAAAGTTAAAGTCCAAAGATATGTTACCAAATATAGCCATAAAAACCTACCCAGCAATTGCCCTTTTAGAGATTTCCCAACGAGGTTTTTTGTTTACTATACAGGCATATGGGGTCCACTAGGTGATGGATTTACGTGACGGTTATCTTACAGCCAAGCCGAGCAAGCCAGTCGAATAGCGCGAGCCAGCCGTTGTTGGAGTTCAACGCTTCGCATGGTCCATCATCAAATCCACGGGAACCCCCCCCCCCAGAGTCCCCACCTTTGAAGCTCTAGTGGTTGTCGTAGTTGTGGTTGTGGTGGTTGTGGTGGTTGTGGTGGTTGTGGTGGTTGTGGTGGTTGTGGTGGTTGTGGTGGTTGTGGTGGTTGTGGTGCTTGGGGTCGTTGTTGTGGTTGGTGGCATGGTTGTTGTCGCGAGCGTCGTGGTGGTGCCTCGGCCAAAACAAAAACTCCGCGGGAAGCAACTGGAAGGGCCTCAAAGGTTTCGACCGTCGAGGTTTTGCAGCCAGAACAGATCAACCTGCCCATTGCCTGGACCCAAAGGACCAATTCCCCTGTTTTTTCTGCCTTACCATTTTTGTTTTATTACTGTTGTATGGGCCAAAGGCAGTCCATTGGGGGTCCAGGTGGCTACTCACTGGTCTTCTGTTGCATTCAAATCTGGACCTTCATTGGAAGGTTTTGGACCTCAAAACAGACCGCTTTGAGTCGCTGGGACCTTGCTTGTCAAAGGGGCTGACGCCCTTCGACTTCAAGCCCCGCTAATTGAACACCAACTTTGCGTCTCGAATTGGACACCCGAATCGAAGCGGAGTTCGATCCAAAATCTTGGCCCTCAGATTAACCTGGAGCATGTAGAGCACCCCAATCAAAGGACTCCCCCAAAACAGATGCTTTCCTCACTAAACGGCAAGCCCCCCCCTGATTAGTACAGTCCTCCGGATTAATCTGAGGTCGAAACTCAAGTCCAGCAATGGACTCCCACTCGACATACCACAAAAACCATCACCAATTTAGAACTCGTGGCGGCAAAAACATCAGATATTCTGATATTCCGACTCCCTGCCCGGCCTGCCCTTTACGCTTCTTCCCAACTTGCCAAGCATTTCCTTCTCACTCCCTGAAAGCCAGGTAGACCTGATCAGACAGACCCTACACTCATCAATCCAAAGTGGGGGTCTTCTATTAGAGGGTCTAGGGTCAAATGCAGGTTTGCCAATTTTTGCAACTGTTTGCCAGATTCTGCCAGAGTTTGCCAGATGTTGCCAAAGCTTGCCAAAATTTGGCACCAACATGCAAACAACATGCAAACGACATGCATGGTTCGCCGTGAGACATGAATCAAGTTGATCAACTATTTGCCAAAAACTGGCACCAACGTGCAAACAACAAACGACATGCATGTTATGTATGCACATATGGATGTATATGGAATGTATGTATGTATGTGTGTGCAATGTAATGTAATGTAATGTCAGTGGGGATGCTTCATCGCTCGTTAGCTACTAAGATAATCAGGAGAGCGCTGCCCTTTTTTCTGTGGCGCTGTCGAAGATTTCCTGGCCATCTCGCGTTGGGCGAACAGGCCATCGCCGGTGTACAGACTCTCACAGGGTCTCAGAGCTCAGCACGAGATTGAAGACTCCGCCAAGTCTTCGGCAACGCTCTTTTTTCAAGAGACAAAGTCCACATTGTCGTCACTCTGCCAGGGCCCCACAAATGTGGTGACTCAAAAAGAGGAAACTTGAAAGTGTAAACCTGCCATGGCCCGAGTCTTGTCTTCTGGTCCGAGATGCCGCCTTGAGTGCAAATTGCGCAATAACCAAATCCACAGCAACATAGGGAAGGGCTATTGATGCCATGGCTGCAGCCAATATTTGGCTGCAGCCATGGCATCCTCGACTTGCTGCGACACAATGTGCTGGACTGATGCAAGGAACTGGTGTATAGCTGGGACTGCAACATATCATGTTCATGTGCAGAAATTCGAAGTTGAAGAGCACTCGAAAAGCACAGCTTGTGTATAAAGTACAGGGACTGTTACTGCTGGGAATGCAAAAATATACTGTTCATGTGCAGAAATTTCAAGTTTAACAGCACTCGAAAAGCACAGCTGGTGTATAGAGTACAGTGAATTTTAGTGCTGGGTCTGCAAAAATATCGAAGTTGAACAGCACTCAAAAAGCACAGCTTGTGTGTAACGCACAAGTACGTTTAGTACTGGCAACGCAAAACACATCAAGTTCGTGTCCAGAAGTTTGCAGTTGAACTCCATGTCAGGCACACGTTTACACATTGTTTGCAAAAAATGCAAAATACAAGAAATGCAAAATTCAGATAGGGTAGGGTAAACATTCACACCCCAACAATTCTAACTATGTGTTCAAAGTGCGAAAAAATCTACAAAAATGCAAAAAACAAGAAATGCAAAATTGAGATATAGGGTTTGGGGTGAAGATTCAAACCCCACCAATTCTAATTACGCATTCAAAGTGCAAAAAAAGCAAAAAGCAAAATTGAGATAAATTGAGATGGGGTCTGGGGTGAAAAAGTGCGAAAAAGTTCCAAAAATGCAAGACAGTGCAAAATTGAGATGGCGGTTGGGGTGCAATTCAAAAAAGGTGCACACATGACATGATATGGGGCTTGAGGTGAAAATTAACGCTCCACCAATTCTGAATTTAGCATTATTTGTCGAAGACAAATGCTGCATTAGTGAAGCCAGCAGACACATCTCTCTTTTCAAAGCTTCGCATCAGTGTGAATTGCATGTGACAGCCTTCACTCAGCACTGTGCAGAAATAATGAATGGCACCATGCCTGCCTGTGACCCCATGAAGCCTCAAGCCAGGAACTCCCAGCCTTCTGCTGCTTCCACAAGCGGCTGCTCATTCTGATACGTGTGGCATCGATAAGCGCATGCCTAGGCCGCCACGCATTCTGAGTGGAAAGTGTGTCCACAAAGCAGGGCTTCAGTCTCCTGGGCAACATCGCTGAGACACTCACTCACAGCGCATTGCTTTTCCTATAACGCCTTGGTTGTCATGCAAATCTCACAACTCAATTTTGCCAAGGAGCCTCCTCGTGTGCGTTCATGCCGGACTGGCAGAACGCGCACACTGGCGCCTCCTGCTCCTCCATCCCCTGCTCGCTGTCATCAGCATCACTGATTCTTCTTCTGATCCTGGGCCTGGTGACGGCTGCACACGGCTGCTCAGCCATGGCCTTTGGCTCGGCTGGCAGGGCCGGCCAGCTTTGCTCTGCGTACCCGTTCCTGCTGCTGCAGCAGCATCAGCCGCAGCAGCAGGCGCAGGCATGGGGGGAAGGGGAACCGCCTGGCTTGTGCTTGTGTCACTGGCGGCGCCACGCCTGTCCTGCTTGCTTGTGGCATAGCCGGAAACGCCTGCGCCATGCAGGGCGTGCTTGTTGCTGGCATAGCGGGCGGCGCCATGCCTGTCCAATCGTCTGGTGCAGCAGCCTCTACAATACCTGCAGCCTTCGCAGGTGGCACCACATAACCTGCACAGTGGGGCAAACTATGCAGCCCCTAGTAGCCTGGTTGGCCCCAAAATTCCTGCCTGAATGGTAGTCACGTCAGAGTTGCCCAGTATTAAAGCTATGGCGTGTGAAGGAGGCTGCACCGCTGTGACGAGCCTAAGTGTTCTAACTCCTGGTCACGCTGACTGACTCAGACCTGTAAAGTTGTGTGTTGCGTGTCTGGTGCTGGCGCAACTCACTTTGA